TTATTTGAACAAACTTGGTAGACACTCATTAGAAGATGTTTCATGTCAAATATCTTAGCTCTAGCTCTTTGGGTTCTTTAAAAGAAGATTTTTTAAGTTTTTACTATATGCATATAGGGAAAATCTATGACCCCCTGGGACAGGGCCAATTGTGACCCCAGGGCTTTTATTTGAACAAACTTGGTAGACATTCACTAGAAGATGTTTCATGTCAAATATCTAAGCTCTAGCTCTTACGGTTCTTTAAAAGAAGACTTTTTAAGTTTTTACTATATGCATATAGGGAAAATCAATGACCCCCCGGGGCGGGGCCAATTTTGACCCCAGGGCTTTTATTGAACAAACTTGGTAGACACTCACTAGAAGATATTTCATGTCAAATATCTTAGCTCTAGCTCTTTGAGTTCTTTAAAAGAAGATTTTTTAAGTTTTTACTATATGCATATAGGGAAAATCTATGACCCCCTGGGGCAGGGCCAATTTTGACCTCAGTGCTTTTATTTGAACAAACTTGGTAGACACTCATTAGAAGATGTTTCATGCTAAATATCTTAGCTCTAGCTCTTTGGGTTCTTTAAAAGAAGATTTTTTAAGTTTTTACTATATGCATATAGGGAAAATCAATGACCCCCTAGGGCGGGGCCAATTTTGACCCCAGGGCTTTTATTTGAACAAACTTGGTAGACATTCACTAGAAGATGTTTCATGCCAAATATCTAAGCTCTAGCTTTTACAGTTCTTTAAAAGAAGATTTTTTAAGTTTTTACTATATGCATATAGGGCAAATCAATGACCCCCGGGCCGGGGCCAATTTTGACCCCATGGCTTTTATTTGAACAAACTTGGTAGACACTCACTAGAAGATGTTTCATGCCAAATATCTTAGCTCTAGCTCTTTGGGTTCTTTAAAAGAAGATATTTTAAGTTTTTACTATATGCATATAGGGAAAATCAATGTCCCCCTGGGGCTGGGCCAATTTTGACCCTAGGGCTTTATTTGAACAAACTTGGTAGACACTCATTAGAAGATGTTTCATGCCAAATATCTAAGCTCTAGCTCTTACGGTTCTTTAAAAGAAGATATTTAAAGATTTTTCTTTCGGTTGCCATGGCAACCAGAGTTCTGCATGAAATGGAATTCTTTGAACAATCTTGATAGAGCTTCATACAAAGAGTATTCCTGCCAAGTTTCATTAACATTGGCCTTGCGGTATCATAGAAGATGTCCTTAGAATATTTAAAATGTGGACGGACGACAGACGACGGACGCCATTTGGTTGGCCATCCTAAAAGCTCACCTGCACTTTGTGCAAGGTGAGCTAAAAATAGATAAAAAATGTCTACAAATTTATGTGGGTATTTTATCTTTATTTATTTATATTATTGTATATACAAAGTAAAATGTTGTTATTCTTCAAATCTAAATCAGGATTAAAAACATACTTATTTTGTTGTTTTTGTTTCTTAGGAGCATGTGTTGCAAAGCCAGTGACCACTTTTCCAGAGGAATACTAAGGTTTTTGTCTAAGCATTAAACTTGTGTATAGAAATGACTGTGTTAAACAAAATATATAGAACAAATACTTTTGGATAAATAAAAAAAATATAAAATTGAAAATTGTTACACAAAATGAGCCTATGAACCCCTCTCGAAAAGAACAACAACAAAAAATAAAAAACATTGAATCTCAGTTATAAAGCACTCAAAAAGCTGAACAGTTCAAAATTGTAATTGTATATTATACACCATTAAAGCGTAAACATTAACACAACATCAAAAAGTATAATAGCACACTTTATTAACCACTGTATAATAAGTAATAGGATTTATCCCTCAAAAACTACATCTAAACCAATATGACAAAGACCAGACAGATCTTTTCTTTTTACATCAAAATTTAGCATTATTTAGAAGCTGGTTGTAATATTTCAGATAGCGACTTATTTAGTACACTGTATGTACATTATCCCTCATGAACAGACTCAATCAAACCGCAATATTCATGTAATTGTGTTGTGGTTAATGTTTCCCAGGGATCGCCCTTCTTTCAGATATTTAAACTGTTTCATTATAAATTAAAACAGTAATTCGATGTAAATAAAAGGCATAGAATATAAGCAATATGTTTATTACTTGTATACTGCAAAAAGTAAGATTTTCATTCTTTCTTCAAAGGGATTCCACTGATTTTTGTTTGACAAGATTGGACTAGAAATATTTTTTTCGAGATTAATATTCCATTTCATGTGAGTCTAAACCGACCAATAACTTGTGTGTAAAATTTCAGCCACTAACTCTGTGTTCCCAGTAAGATTAATTGTGAAAAATGACACAAAATTGAAAAGCGTGCACTCAAATTGGGCTAGGAGTTGTACAAAGATATGATTTTCAACAATGTATTTCCTAATTATTTGTTACATTTAGTTTTGTTTCAAGTGCGGCAGCCGATTTATGTGCGAAATTCAACTTTTATGTTTTAGGCTTTTGGATTTCAGTAGAGAATCTTTAAAAACACTAGTTTGCACGTACGTACCTTTAAAACATTTTCTTATTCTTCAATAATTTATTATATTGATATAATCATTATATTATACAAAATAAAATGTATTAACAATAAAGAAGCTTACTGGTTAACAATAATTTACATCTGAAAAATATGTAATAATTTATATATACATATCAGGCTATATAATATCAATATCACAATGTTTAATAATGGACGGATATCATTTATATGACAGTGTTCCACATGAAATAATAACAAATAAATCATAAAAGAAAATAATAATAATAAATTAAGAAAAAAAATCAAAATGTACAAACACACAAGTTGATTAAGTATATAATTTGTAAACAGTCTTCTACCACATTTCTTATGTTTTAAAAGTGTATGTTAAGGAAACATTAAGTGACTCGACTGAGTTTTTTTTACATGACCTGACTAGAGATATTTGTTGTGCGGGGATCTCTGTACTATATAAGTCTGGTATTATAACTCATGTGAACAAATTCAGATCATTCTATCACTTTATTTTCTCAGTATAATCATTTAAATTTTAAAACGGGTCAAAAACTAGATAAGTGTTTAATCAAAATTGGTAAAAAATATCATTTCCAATTTAATTTGAGTATATATCTGTTTTACCTTTTACATATTTTCCCTGTTTAAATTCCCCGATTGAAAAAAAACTATATACTAATTTCAAATTTCATTTATTAATTAAGGCATTTTTTTATTATCGAACTGGAACTCCTTTAAGATGATTTTCTATAGGAATAATTACTTCTTAATTCATTCATTCAATCTATAAAATTGAGAAATCACAACCAATCATAACCCAATCAATCAGGCAGTCTGCAACATTTTGAATTAACCGCTTTTTTGCGTTACTTATGAAAGTAACAATCTACCCATCAATAAACAACAATCTATTTTAAAATAGCTTGTTCATAATATGGTTCATATTGAACACATGGTTGGAAACCAAATTCTAATTAATTCTACAAAAACTGTCCCGAAAACAGTTCAAATTAGATAAATAAATTACAAAACAAGGGAAAAGTAAATAAACATATAAATAAATAAAAATATATATATATATATATATATATATATATATATATATATATATATATATATATATATATATATATAATCTTTACGCAATTTCTTAGAAAAATTAATACTAACACCTCAAACAAACAAAAAAAAAACCTGCAAACATGTCATAAAAAGAAGCTCACTCCTAGTCAAAAATTGGGAAACCTATTATAGGAAAAGAAACTCCATATAAATATCTTGTTGTAACAAAGACATGTTCCTTACAAATATAACATGCATTTAAAAATTTGATCATATAGTAAGATGTTCCACACTAACACATCTAAAACTATTAATGACACATCTTCAGTTTGTAAATTTCATAAATGCTGATTGATAAAAAGAGTATTTTGAATAGTCTAAAGAAATGAATTCACAGAAAAGGTTCTATACAATCCTGTCATTGACAAGGAATATATATATTTTATAAATAAGGAATGCTCCATTCAAACATAGGATTTTTTACAAACATTTCAAACAACAGAAATGTTCCATTAATTCATGCAACAGTGGAATAAACAGAATGCTACAATCTGACATGTTACATGAAAGGAATGTTTTAATCAAAATGTTATATGAAAAAACATTTTAATCGAAAGGACCATTTCAATCAAACACATGTTATATGAAAAGATCATTCCAATGAAACATGTTATATGAAAATAACATTCTTACAAACATGTTATACGAAATAACATTCTTACAAACATGTTTTATGGAAATAACATTCTTACAAACATGTTATAGGAAAATAACATTCCTACAAACATGTTATATGGATATAGAATTCTTACAAACAAGTTAAAGGAAATAACATTCTTACAAACATGTTATACGAAATAACATTCTTACAAACATGTTTTATGGAAATAACATTCTTACAAACATGTTATATGGATATAGAATTCTTACAAACAAGTTAAAGGAAATAACATTCTTACAAACATGTTATAGGAAAATAACATTCTTACAAACATGTTATATGGAAATTACTTTCTTACAAACGTGTTATATGGAAATAACATTCTTTCAAACATGTTATAGGAAAATAACATTCTTACAAACATGTTATATCAAAATAACATTCTTACAAATATGTTATATGGAAATAACATTCTTACATACATGTTATACGAAAATAACATTCTTACAAAGATGATTTAGGAAATAACATTCTTACAAACATGTTTTATGGAAATAACATTCTTACAAACATGTTATAGGAAAATAACATTCTTACAAACATGTTATAGGAAAATAACATTCTTACAAACATGTTATATGGAAATAACATTCTAACAAACATGTTATATGGAAATAACATTCTTACAAACATGTCATAGTAAAATATTATTGTTACAAACATGTTATATTGAAATATCATTCTTACAGACATGTTATAGGAAAATAACATTCTTACAAACATTTTATATGACAGAATCATTCTAATCATAAAATATGTTACATGAAAAGAACGTTCCAATCAAACATGTTCAGTGAATGAACATTTTAATCAAGCTAAAGGTGAAACATTTCAAACATGTAGCAAGTTGTCACCAGACGACACATGGAGACGAGGTTGAAGTTCTATCAATGACTCATCATCAAGGTCATCATGTATACAACCGGAGTCCTGTAGTGGTTCACTGTCGTCTGCAGTGTCTTTCATTATAGACTCATTTTCTTCCATTGCAAAATTTATGAACACCTGAAGAGGAAATTTATCAAAACTATGAAATAAAAAAAAATAAAGCTTTCAAACAACTTTGTTTCTTAAATTAATACCTTAAGAAAGCAAATGAAATTTTTACCTTTAGCAGAACTGTATTTTAACCACAATCATCCCGAGAAGATAAACACAATATAAACTGATATAAACAGGTCGTAGATTTCAGTTTGTATTCAAGATTTCAATAAAGCTGTTTTATTATGATTACTTTAAATAAATTCAGCATTATTTTCAACACTTTTTACATATTCATCCTGTAAAATGGACTCCTTTTTGCTAATAAACAAATGTGCAAATATAACATTGAACAGATGTGCAACCTGGTCTAATAAATGATACTCTTAAAATACTTTTCTATAAATAGAATAAATGAAGCTCTATAAATAGATGATGTTCTATTATTAGACAATGAAGTTATATAAATAGATCAAGTTTAATTAATATTCCATGCACTTACATTATCAAGAGAGTTTTGATTTACTGTGTAGTCAGCAACACTCAGATAGGCTGGAATATCTTTCAGCACTTTATACACATCTGCTAGGTCAGAACAAGTTATCTTCAAGTCAAACACGAGGTTCCGGTGCCCTTTATACCTGAGCTTGGAACCAGACATGTTTGAGAGAATATAGTCCTCTACACTTTGACCAGCCTGTTCTGATTCTAGGACAACAGTTACAGTATATCCATTTGCATATTTATCCTGTAGGTAAGACAAAACAAATCAATTATTAACAAACAAGAATATAGGATTACATAAATGCAGTGTCAATGGTAAAAACATCTCCAGTTAGACAGGGACTTTAAGCCCCGGCCAATGGATATGCACTTAAATTATTCAAAACAAAGTTCTCAACAATGATAATTCTTCTTTTTTAACTATGAATTTGGTAAATTTTATGCATATGCTACTTCCACTGATTTATTATCATATCAAGCATTGGTAAGATTTTCCATATTTAAAAAGGGCCATATTTCTGTCAAAATCCATGCAAGTGTTTAACCTAGACAATTATCTCCTATTATGCTCTAAAATAAGTTCCCACTCATAGTCATTCCCTATGGTACTTCTGGAGATACCAACTTGCAAGCAAAGCATAAATGAAGTGTGGCGCCGAGACTAGGGCGACTAAAACAGGTCTCCATATTCTTTGAAAACTCAAGTTAAAACAAATAAATTTTAACCAATCTAAACTTATATGCAATGTTGAAACAATGATGAAATTGGTATATAACTTTGAAGCTTGTGTAGTACCTTTAAATGCTGGACACTGCCAAGACACTTCAATTGTCCTTTAGCCATTATAGACAATCTAGAACATAAGGTTTCACATTCTTCCATGCTGAAATAGTATGCAAATTTCAGTTAAACACATGTTTCTAAAATATCATGCAAATTTAGTTGACAACATTTTTTTCAAGCTGAAATAACATGCAAATAAAGGTTAGCACGTATATGTTGTATTTAAAAATAAAATGGATTGCAGTATAGTAAAACATTATTTTTTTTAAAAAAAACTATGTCTTTGCAAAGCACCACTGAATACACTTCTTTGTGCTGAAATAACAAAGTCTTTTTAAGGTAAGTAAAATTATACAGGAGCAAGTTGGTAAGTATATTGATAATTAAAGCTAAACATGTTGACCACTCTACTTGCATCACACAAAAATGTGTGTAAACTCTAGAGCAATGTGAGCCTACAATAGTAAAAGTTTGATTGTACAAGATTAGATGGGGAAAAATCCCAAATTTGCCAGAGTTCCGGATAAGGTTTATAGGTTCAATACCTCTCTAAAGCACATGTGTATGTTACAGTATCAATTCACCTACCTATGTGAGGATACGTCTTTAGGGGTAAATACCTCTCTAATACCTCTCTAAAACATGTGTACATATTTGGGGATAATAACTAAAGGGTCAATACTTCTGTTATACCTCTTTAAAACACATATACATCTACCTATGTGAGGATAACGTCTATAGGGGTAAATACCTCACTAATACCTCTTTAAAACACATGTTCATGTTACAGTATCAGTTCACCTACCTATGTGAGGAAAAGACAACAGATGTTCCAGCTTGTACAAGTCTCTGTATAACGTCCCAGAGAAACCTTCGGGAATATGGGTCCATACCAGATGTAGGCTCATCCTACAATATACAAGTATCAGACCTTCTAAATAGTGAATAAGTAACCACTGCAGGTTGCCGAATATGGTAAATTGCAATTATTGCAGGCCTTAATCCGATTCCTAAATAACATTTGCATGAGTTTTCTCAATGAACAGTGAAAAGTTTCCATACATATTATGCTGTGTATTAGAAAAGGCTTTCCAAAAAGAAATGGTAGTTAATAGTTTCAATAAATAATACCATCAGCATAAGAAAGGTATCCGATAGTTTCAATAAATATTTCCAAGCAAATGAGATAATGATGTTCATTTAGGGTAACAGCAGAGAATAGTTTCAATATTAATCACGTTGAGTATGAGAAGAAGGGTTTTCAATAACAGCAATGGAAGTGAATAGACTTGATAAAAAGTACCATGAGTATTAGAGAAGGGTTTCCAATTAGAGCAATGGCAGTGGATAGCTTCCTTTTGTTTCCTCCACTCAATGTTCCAGCAGATTTAGTTCTGTACTGTGTTAATCCTAACAACTTTAAACATCTCTCCACCACCTGAATATTAATAATGTGTTTTATAATATTAGACAATTATACAATAACTTGCACTCACTGACTGACATGTGTCGCTTTTAACTTGAACCCATCCATTATTATATTAACATGCACCTTATACCTTAGTAATGAATAAAATATTTCCTTTCATAAGAAAGACAAAATTTGATAATGTTTAAATCATTGTTTTAGAGCATGTTAGATGATTGTCACCTGAAGGAAGTAGCGCTGAATGTGGAAGCATTTATAATACATAAAGTAACAAAATAGTATTTTGATACACATACAAAATATTAAATCACTTTAACAGTACTAAATACCAGAAGGCTACAGAATCAATAAATGGTTTAGGTATATGGCAAATGTAAAACTTTTTAGAAAATTTAAGAGGAATTATGGCGAGTTTATACAAGAAATACAAACATTCATCTGGATGAAATTATAAACCTAGGTCATCTTAATTGATGCTTGACAACATGTCAAATCTCTGACAATCTTTCTATTTCATCTATTTCAAAGAATTCTACAAAACACCTCTACTGGAGATGATATAGTTACTATAGAAACAGTAAATAAAATTTGCAAAAGCAATAAAAAACCTACTTTTTTATGGTGTCTAACAGGTATTCCTCGTAGTCTGGCATACAGCTGAAGATGTTCTCTGGGTGTTAGTTCACTAAACACAGCATCAAACTGGGGACAATAACCTACACATTGCTGGATACCCCGTCCACCTTTCACAACACTGTTTAATAATGAAATATAAGTTTTTACTTCAATTACTGTTTAACTCTTAATCTCTGTCCACCTTTTACAACACTGTGAATGAAATAAAATCTCAGAATCATCAGTTTATACTTCACAACATTCTTAATAATGGCATATAATTTTAAAACAATCCAAAACTTTTCTAATCAATATCCTAAAAAATGCATAGCTGTTATAATTTACTCCCTAGTATATTATAACAATAGTTCCCTACAACTGGTCAAATACTAACCGTTAAACATTTTTGAAGGATTACAAAATTATAGAGTCACATAAACAAAAATTTAAGAGGTAAAATGGAAAAAATAAAAACTGACTCAAAACAGCAAAATTGAAATTGTTGCTTCCTCAGTATGTGTAAGACTGTTCATGGACTAGGACTTAACCCATTACTAAAATAAGATGACAAAATCAAAAACTTAGAAACATCTGATTCAGCAGATGTAGGCATACAGCAGTTATCATTTAACCTTAAATTTGACACGTTTGTGACAAAGGTGTCTGCTAATTTTCAAAAATACATATATGTATAATATCATTGTTACCTATGAGAGAGAAGTTTAGCATCACCACTTGTTGGTGTCAGATCTCCCGTCAGCATACGAAATGTTGTTGTTTTCCCAGCACCATTAACTCCAAGTAGACCAAAACACTGAAATATAAGTTAAGTTTATGCAATGCTTGTAATGTCAAGGATTTTTAGAAGACACACAACAAAACAAAAAAATCCAGCTTATGATTCCTAAAATTGCTAATGAACTGTTCCAAACATGTGAGCTAGAAAAGTCAAATTAAGACTTTCAGGAGAATAGGGATTAAAGAATAGTCAAACCTGTCAACAAAGGCCACCCAAGGGAGAAACAAAACATGGTCTTTACAGACAAATGGTCTTTATTTGGGGGTTATTTCATAAAGTTTTATCAATGAAGTGTTATCAAAAAGTTGTCATAAGGGTATTTTTATTCAGAAGTGACCTTTAACAAAGGTTTGACTGTAATGCAAAATCATCATTATTCCTGGGACACTTATTTTTGTGGTTTTTGTGGATGGGATAATCCATGAAAATATGACCAAATGGAATTTTATTTTGTCTGCTGGAAAAATATTTTTCTACATTATTTGCATTGTACTTTTTTTGCAAAAAATAGACAATGCACAAATTGAAGAACCCACAAAAACGGCATAAACCATGAAATTTCATGCCAACAAAATTGAATGAATTCACATAAATTGTTGAAATGGATAATATAACTACCTCTCCTTTTGGAATAGAAAAGCTCAGCTCTTTAACTGCCTGTATCTTTCCAAGTTTCCTCGTTCTGTACACCTTTAAAACCAGATTAAAATAAATGTAGTTAGTTTATAATACAAAATTTATTTTAATTCTATTGTACAAGAAGTTAAACACAGGTTATAGACACACTCTAGAATTGATTCCTGGAAGCAAACAGTACTGAGCAAGCAGGTGTAAAGTTTCATGCTCAAAGGAACATTATGGCATGCCCTCGATTAATTTTGAACCCATGCAACTATCGTCATATTCATGCTACATGGTAGAGGATTAAAACACTTAATTTGTCCATTTTCCTTTTTTTGCATATTACCAGAAAAAAACATAAATAATGTAAAATTTCAATATGGCATTAAGTTTTCAGCTTAACTGATAGAGGAAAACCCAAGTATATACCCCTTAGGCAGATATGTTTGTAGAACTGCAGATTTTCCATTCTCTGCATTGAAACTTAATAGTTAGCATACATGACTAGACTTGACATGCAGAATATGAATTCACAGTAGCAAGGAGAAACTGATTTGAAGTCATCAAGTTAAGTTGCCAAACAAAACAGACATCGAAGTTAACAGTTAAATCAGCACTTAAATGAACTTTGTTGTAAAAGACAATCTTCAAATTTGCTAATTGACTTCAGATGAACAAAATGCGATATCTAAATGCCATGAAAAAGAAAAACAAAACTTATAAATGATACAGCATACTTTACTAAGTTTCTCCACAGATAACAGTGTATCACTGTATTGTCCAATTAGAGTGTTCTCCCTTTCCTGTGCTACATCACAGTCAATACTGACGTCTTCACCATTAGAAATATTCTCCTTTATCCTATTAAACATATGAAATATTCTTCCTTGTGATCCTTTATACATTCAGAAATTCATTTTATTTCTCATAATTAAAAACTGTACAGTACTATACTGGTTACAAGTGTCAAGATGATTCAAAACAAATCAAGAAACCATACACCTGGGCAAAGACTGTTTATATACATGTACCTTTAATTAAGGCACTTAAATTCAGTCATCTGAATGGAAGTTAACTACTATCTTGCAAATTCTAGCAGCATGCTTGAAAAACTAGAAAAAAAACATTTACTTATGACTAGCTTTTTTATGAAACACTAAGAAAACATAAATATGTTTATGCATATTTAAAAGCTAGTGGGACAACTAAGAATGTCTGTTTTCTACATAATGGTCATTATTTTTTGATGGAATCAAGTGAATGTTTATCTGATACAGACATGAGCAGCATTAATTAACAATAAAATACCTGTTTTTGATGCAGAATCTATATTCACAAAGGATAGTAAAAATAAAAGATATAGCACCAACAATTGCCATAACAACCAGTTTCTTGCCAGTAACATCCCAACTTAATGCAGCCTGTATTTTACTTGTCTCACCTGTAATAGTTTTGTAGAAAGTATTATAATGCGAATTTAGACATCGACTACAATACCACAATGATAACTTCCCTTTTATTTTACTAGATGTACTGCAGAGTTTGTTCCCTTGGACACCACTTGAAATTTAAAGGCGCATTATTCCCCCAAAATATGTCTTTATTTTCATTTCTCAAAAGCTTTTAATATTTGGTGTACTTACATAGTTTCCAAAATGTTATTCAATATCAAATAACCTGAAACATCTTTTTCTTCTGTTGCTTTTTGGCAATAAGTACAGTTATAGTTATTTAGTATTTAGTCATTAAAATACTACTTTCCTTACAATTTGATATTTTCATGACAAAAAAGTTCACATTTAGTGCTATTTTATCCAGATAAAATGAATCGTATTCTAAAACCATTATTAAACCATTATAAAACTCATGCTTGCCCTCTCTAAAGAATTAAAATCTATTCATTTTGGAGACATAATGTGCCTTTCAACACAGAAATAACTTACAGGCATATTTAAATATTGACATTAAAACATTTGAATACATTGAGTGGGTTACCATAGATTCACCATATTATAGTATTATGTTCTTTCTAAATAATTTAGATTGTGTCAATTTCTGTTTTACAAAAAGAAACCATATTATTCTATTTTGCTATGAGTTTTTTAGCTTTATTTCTTTATCTAAGTCATAAATTTCATCCATTTCATATATATCAAATGTATTTTCAAATCAGTCGGGCAATAAGTTTGAAAAAAAAGATATGAAATACTTAGAGAAATAAATATATTTGTTTGGAGCTACAGCAATAAAAGTAATGGCTGACCTTGTTCTAAACTGGTGTAAAAGACTAATCACTTTTGGTCCCAGAATTTACAGGTTTTAGAAAAATGTAAATAATATAATACATAATAAAATTACATCTATAGTAAGTGATGTCATAAGTAATGGTTATTATCACATTTTTTAAGAAAAGATGTCATATGTCATGGTTAATGTCACATTTTAAGTAAGTGATGTCATGCTATTAATATATATGCATGTATACATACCTATATGAGAGTAGTATTCATTCTTGTACTGATTTATAGCAATATTCATCATTCCGTTACCTAGGCAATAGTTCGGAAACACCAGAAATATGTTGCTTAATACATCATTTACATGTGCTAAACTCTGAAAAATAAGGTATTTCATTATTTTGTCTTCATTCTGTTATAGATAAATAAGGAAATAAAAATTACTACATTTTTGAGGAAACATCAATGTTCAAGGAAGCACCTTTTAGTTATTATGAAATTATAATATATCACGCATTACTGTGTTTCTGAAAATTTTAAAATGATTTGGAATCTTCCTAATATGTTATCACTTTTCTTTCTCTCTTTATTAATATATTAGACAGGAATGTGACTCACAGCAACACCGTAAATGTAACATGGTGAATTCTTAGCAAATCTTACGTACCACTTTGTGTTTTATATCAGCCCCTTGATCTCAGCCAACAGGTGCATATTTTAGCCCCTACGGGCATTTGCACAGTCTTATCCAACCAGCAGTCAGTATATGTATTTGAAATAAGTTATTAAAAACTAAATTTGAAAGCATGTACATATAAACTAAGACCACTCTTCATATACATGTAAGTTTTGCATTCAATTTCGGAACCAGGTTAACCCCGAAAAACATCATTAGAAACAAAAAAATGTATAAATACCTTATCAAATGCAAACTGTTTTAGCATGACGCTCGAGACGACACAGGTTATTCCAGTGAACAGATTAAGAACAATCAAACATATATACGCCACACTCGGCTCTGAGAATAAAAAACTCGCTGGATACATCATAGGTGTGATTGACCAACTGAAAGAAATATTTTAAATTATGTTTTCATTGATTCTTTTGTTTTCGATTGAATTTCTTATTACTAGTTATATAATTCATTTTATATACAGACATACCTGTGTTAAAGCTCACATATGTAAAAAGACAACACTGAAAATAAAGGTCACTTTTTGATAATTCTTTATTGATAAAACTGAATAAAATAACCCCCAAATAAAGACCACCTATCTGTAAAGACCATGTTTTGTCTCTCCCTTGGTTAGCCTTTGTTCAAGGAGTGAATGTATGTCTACAGGATGCAGAAGCTCTTGCAACATGGGCTCTAAATTGGTAAATACTAGTATAGTATTTTTTAACATACTGATATGCACAAACATAGTGTCTACTTATAGTGGTCTTTTGAAGAAATGTCACATTTAAAATCTTATTATGCATGCTGAATTATTAGGACCAAACACAAACCCCAAATTACACATATTGTACATAATTATGATAAATATTCTAGGTTGAAATCGCCTGCAATGACCTTGACATTTGACCTAGGTTTTGCACCATTTACATAATGATTTTATGGTGATCACATGTACACATAAAATGAAAATCCTTCCATAGCAAACCATGGTACAGTACAACATTTAAGTATACATATCCATACTGTAAGAAACCTAAGATTACATACCTATACAGAATCTTAATATGCATACACATACACAAACAAATATGAAAATACATACCCATAGAGCCCAAAACCAAATAATACATACCCATATAGTAAGAAATACACAGAAAGAAACTTGAACATACATGTATAAAAGTAAAACATCTAAGTAAACATTACACTGCAGTTAGAATCCAAAGAAATATATGCTCACACAGTATAAAACCCAAATTGTCAGACATATTTGCCCATTAATATGTTTTCATACCCGCACAGTAAAATAGTCGAATATACAAACTCAAACAGTACAATAGTAAAATATACATACCCATACAGTAAGAAAAGGGCAATAACAGCCTCAATATTTCCATGGCCAACATAACTTTCAATGTGGAATAACAAGAGGATTCCCAGAATACACACAGCTGGTATCATGTAATTGCACTGAAAATTAACGGTATTATTTATCATATACTTTTTACTGGATTACAATGGAATACTTTAAAGTTTCTTCTTTTTTGTTAACTTCTTCATATATTTTAAGTCACAATGATACTATAAAGGTGACAATACAACAACTTCCCAGCTTTACTTGTGGTGGAACACCTCAGATGTCCATTCATGCATTTTCCCGGCACAACTGGACATTTGCTAGTAGAACCACTAACCTTCAATAAACTAGCTGGAAAGCTTCCTCACAAGAATGGCAGGATTTGTACCCATAGCTTAAACGTAATATAGTCTTATAGACAAGATAAGATACTTGAGATTCTCAACCTGCTGTAACCGTAAGTGATCAGTCTTTGTCAACAGTGATGATTCAGACATACCCCCACATCCATGCAGTCTAACCACGCTCTACTCTGTTTGTAGTTCAATTGTTGTTATTCAATATTAAGAAATCCCTAACTTTGAATGGAATGTTCTACCAGATTTAGGGTTAAGAAACAGCTAAATTGACAGTTAATGTAGTTAGGTGCTTTGCTGTATTGTAGTTTAATTATTATGGTATACTAAATTATCCAGAAATAAACATGTATTAAGTACATGTACAAGGCAAGTGACTGGTTCCCGGTCAACTGAATAACTCACCATATCCCATAAGTAATTAGACAGCCAGTATACAGCTGGGTGAAGCCCACTAGAAAACTGTAAATGTTTTGCTTTTATTGCACGTTCATGAACCAGAAACACAACAAAACTTGCTGGTACAAATGACATAGCTACAATTATAAATATTGCCATCAAAACGTCTGTTCCACCTTGACTGAAAACAAAACAAGAAACCTATATTTGTATTTTAATATACAGTAAGAATGTTTACGTACTTTTGAAAAAAAAATGAAACAGTTGTTGCGAAGTTACGCAATAAGCTTACAGACACCACTTTGCATCCTTCTATTCATTATTTTCTAAATTTGAGTTCATAAAGATTTAAAGGGTCGACCAAACTGTTATGTTTGATGATAAAGTGGCATTTATTTTAAGTGACTGTCATTTTTATATAACAATATCAGCAAGCTAGCACCTGTTGGCCACATTTCTCCCAGTGATTGATGTTTGTACTAACCTATTTTGGAATTTCTATTGAAGGAAAATTATATTACTGTTTGTGACAGGTGGTCAGTATTGGCAGGTGGCCACTTGCACAGGTTTGACAACAGTTTGTATCAAGAATTTAATTATAATCATATAAAAATGTGATATACTTACATATAGTCTGAGTTCAGTAAATTGTTGGTCTTCTTCATAGGATGATTTGTGAGTGTTATACCTGTAACAGAAATATCAACATCAGCAATAAATTACAGCTCAACCTCTGCAAACCAACACCCTTAACACACAAATATTTGTGTTGGTTGTTGATGAGGATATTTGCTCTAGGGAGGTTTATTTTATTATGAAATCTTAATTTGGAAATATTTGCTCTACAACATTTTGCTTTACAACATTTTGCTCTACAACATTTTGCTATACAACATTTTGCTCTTCAACATTTTGCTCTACAACATTTTGCTCTACAACATGCTGACATCAACCATATTGGACAACATGTTGACTGACAACATGGTGACAACTACCATATTGGACAACATGTTGACACCTACCATATTGGACAACATGCTGACACCTACCATATTGGACAACATGCTAACACATACCATATTGGACATCATGCTGACACCTACCATATTGGACAACATGCTGACACCTACCATATTGGACAACATGCTGACATCTACCATATTGGACAACATTCTGACACCTACCATATAGGACAACATGCTGACACCTGTCATATTGGACAACATTCTGACACCTACCATATAGGACAACATGCAGACACCTGTCATGTTGGACAACATTCTGACAACTACCACATTGGACACCATACTGACATCTTCCATATTGGTCAACATACTGACATCTTCCATTTTGGACAACATTATGACACCTACTATATTGGACAACACACTGACATCTACCATATTAGACAACATACTGACATCTACCATATTAGACAACATACTGACATCTACCATATTGGTCAACATGCTGACACCTACCATGCTGTAAAATTTTTGTCAAAGCTCCTGTAGAACTTGCTCTAAGCATACCATTGTTCCAACAAATAAAATATAATGGCAAAAAGTGAGAACCAAACTGGAAAAACTCACCCCAAAACATTAAAACAATTTTCTTTTTTTTTTTACTTCAAAATGAAAAAGGAGCATACCATATTGATCAGGGTGTTGGCTGTTGCTATGGAGATTGGCTCTTAATAAAGCATTGTTCATAGAGTTCACATAAACAGGTATGGAGTGATGGCCACGCTGGTTGAACCAAACCTTAAAATATATAAAACAATAGTTTAGAAAGTACTAATTTAAAAATGTCCTAATTTGGAAAAAACAAAACAAGATGCATAAGTGTATATGTATTAAAACTTGACATTTTTATATTAAACTGTTTCATTTTTCCCAGATCTTAGATGTATGTAAAAAGTAACCTAAATATCTTTAAGAGAAGTAAGATTCCATCAGCATAAAAATAACAAATGTCTGAATAATTGGTGACTGTTTTACATGAGTGTGAACCTACAACAATTGCATGCAGTGTTGTATTTCTTTCATTACTTTAAAAAAATATTGACTTGCAAAACTTATCTCCAATCAAGAAGCATATGTACCTTATTGATGACTTTGGTTGCCAACATGTCATAAAGCCATGTAAAGTCATGTGACCCAGCTGAGGTATCAGGCACGTAGGGTAAAGTGGTACCGAATGTAAAACCTCCATACCTGCAATAATTACAATTACTGGTTTAAACTAGAACTACTACCAATAAGTGAATGATTGTAGATATTGATATATTATAAACTTGTCCATCTTTCAATCCTGACAAAACCATTCATCAGTTTAAGAGTTCATTTTAAAATATATCCTGACTAAATAGTGAACAGTGCAGACTACCATAAGGCACTCATCTTGGTCACTGGTGACATAGGTAGAATATGTAGCCACCAGTGGGCTAAGAGTTATGTTAGCTGACTTGTGAAGAAATAATAAGATTATTTGATCCATTCTATACGTTAGCTGAATTTTGAAGAAAGAATATAATCATTTGATGGCAGCATTTATTTGTTATTATATTGTTAAATCGAAATTAAACAGTTAACTACATAAACAAACATGCCTATGCCTCCTGTATTTATCATTGGTATTTAACAGATAGTTTTCCTCGTCATTTACACCACTTGTAATATTCTGTAATATATCCCCAGTAACCAGTCTCCATTCAGGGGGAACGACTGTGTTTCTCTCGTTACAAGTAAAACCAACATTGTCCGACTTACAGTGACAAGAGGGGTAAAACTGAACATTTTCTGGTAGTTGAACTGAAATTTAATGTTGTTATACTGGTAAATATTATATCAGAATATAGAATATATATCTAAATTCAATGCAATACAAAGGAAGAATGATTGAAATACAACTGTAAATATATTACAAAATGAATGTTGTTTCGTTTTCTTGTTTTTCTTTTGCAAAACAACTAACATTATTGCAATACAAAAGAACAATATCTGCAACAATACAACTATAGATTTATTGCAATGCATACTAAAATTATTGGGGTCAAAGAAAGAAACTTATAGAAAAACAACTGTCAATTCGTTCTGACCCAGGACATAACAAGAAGAACAAGATGAACAGAATAATGTTTGTCCCCAATAGTCAGTAGATTGATCCATCAACTAATATATTAATGACGTTATTATAATAAATTACAGCAATGAATTTTCTTTAAATAAAGACCATTTTCATGGTAAAGAAGGCTTATGTTCCTCTCATGTACACCCTGGACAAGAAATATTCTTCCACAAGCATCACCCAGAGAAAATCGTGATGGGTGCGGTGTGCTTGACTGGACAAAACGATAATGCGATGTTATTTTTCATTTGCCAGTCCCATTTTATTATGTAATATAAAAATTATTGCAATAAATTGCAATGTTATTCAAGTTACAATACAACAAATACATTTTGGCAAACAAACGTCTATAAAGAAAACATGAAGCAATATAAATGTACAAATACTAGTAATAAGGAACCAGGAGCACAAAATTTACAATATTTACCTGATGAACTAGTCCATCCATTTCTCTGTACACTGTTGGAAGTAAATATATCATCACAACCATCGTCATAGCAACCGTTTGTTAAATTATTCCCATCACATAAAGCACCTGATAAATTAGATTTCAAAACACAGGAAGCACCTATACCAGAGGGCATGAAAAATGTGTCGGCTAATTTTTCCGAAAACTTTGTTACATACAAACTATTTAAATGTTTTGAAGTCTTGTTAAGCGTATGAATAGAAAATGGAATAAAGTTCCCGCGTGGTTTGGTGAGATCGTGGTATTGAGCAGTTGACATAACAAGTGGCTCCGGATCAGAATTTTTCGGTGCAGTTAATGCTATCGTCATGGAGATAGACACAAAGACCGCGGGTAAGATTATCTGTGACAGTAAAGCTTTCCGGTTCCGTAATGTATAGAAGAAACGTTTTAGCAGAACAGTTTTAAAATGGTTTAACCATTTACATTGTCCTTCATCCATCTGTACGTCCCAGGATTGGAAGTTCATGTTATCCGCTATATCTTCTAGAAAAATAAAAAAAGAGTTTTGATAGCTTTTTTGATAAGTTGCCAGAATCTCTTACAAACATTTCAAACTTGAGTTATATTAAAATCCCTCTGTGCATGTGGAAGTTACGCTCCGGAAACGTGTTTTGAGTTGACTCCTAAGTGTGACCTTGACATTTGGGCAGCTAACCTGGGTTTGTGTGGGACACACCACTCCACCATGGTGAACATTAGTACCAAAGTACATGTTTTTTGTAATGATTTAAAGAATACGCAAAATATAGACCGGAAAAATCAAGCATGGATGGACAGACAAATAGAACTTTACACCGAAAGTGATGACTAAGTCATGTTCACCACAAGCGGACTCGACAATAAATTGATGAATTAAAAAATTTCAGACCCATGGGAAGAGGGTTGCTGGAAATATTGTAAAAGATCAGTCGAGTCTTGAAAGTGCTGACAAACTAAAATTCTGATCCGCCATTCAATTTTGAGTTTGATATTTCCGATTCAACATCTATACTTGCAAACAAAAACATCTTAATGCAATTTTAAACTTAACCATCAAATATTGGGATATCTTCAGCGTGTAAATACTACATTGTTTGGTGATTTATCAATGCCTTACAAAACTATTCACTTAATTATCAGTTAATAACACTTACCAACAGACCGTAACTGGACATAATCTCTATCACTACTATCAACGCCAGGGTCATCAAAGCTCAGGTTACTAGTGACATCCGCCTCCGTGTAGACAGTCCCAGCTATTTTGCCATCCTCGCAACTTTTCGTGATCTTGACAAACACCTGTTCAAGGCCACTGTCTGATATACCATAACTCGCTATCCCCAGCTCACATTTCTTGTTCTCTAGAAGTCTAAATAATGGAACAAAGAGGTGACGTTCGTCCGTCTGCACTGGGATTGTGATATGGACCTCATTGTCTACATGCTTGGATATAAACGCAGCTGGGACTATCTGTTTTACCATGGTAAGGATTTGTGCATCTTTATCCCTGTTCAGCTCTGTAGATTCATTAGTATGCATATCTAAAAGAAAAGTTGAGTCACAATACACGTGAATCAAAATGATAAAACTTGGAAAATAAATTACAGATCTTGTTTCTTTTTTCCCTTTTCAATGAGTAAATACATTGAAAAGTCATACACTATAATTTGATATTTTCACAAGGTCAAAATTTCTCAAAATCTGTATTTCAGACTAATTGGCATAGGTTAAATATTTGAGGTTCTCTTACTAAGATATTAAACCATTATTTTCATGAAAATCTTCAATAAGCAAAAATGACAAAAATAAATCCCTCGCAATTAATTGCTGATTATACATTATCTTATACATGTTATTTAATATAATGCTGTTAAGTTAGGATGTGAAACTTGTTCTGCCTGAGACAAGTGTTTTAGACTAAGATATCATCAAATTATATTACTTTACTTTTGATTGAAGTTATTTTCAGCGGAATTAAAGCCGCAGACCTTAGCCACTAGACCTGACTGCTCAATCGTTCGAAATCAAGCCATTTGAGAAATAGGGAAAATGTATGCCAAACATGGCTAACATGTAACATAAAGAAATAGACTCATGAATACACTGCTGTATCACATAAAAATGCAGTCTCTCATATATAAATCACCATAAATGATATGTAGAAATAGTCCTCAATTCATATGTAACAGGGTGAAAATATTGTGAATTCAAGTTGAAATGTCTACATGACAATTGATCTCTGACATTCAGTCTATTGGTCATTGGTCTCTAACTATTGATAAAGACATCATGTTGGGCTAGTCACTTGCGGAGATATTGGTAATTACTGGTTAGTTTATTCAGGAAAGTTTTATTTGACCGACTGTTGATATATGATGAACAATATGTTATAAGGTGTAAATACCTGACAATCAAAAAATAAATTAAAAATGTTATACTTTTGAATTTTTAAACATTTTCTTACACTGTAAACATAATGTCCTTTAAGATTGAATGTAAGACAATTTGTTTAATATCTTGACATGCACACTTAATGACTTTTAATTTCAACAAATGTAAAAACATTCATCCAGTTAAAAATTATGAAAACTATAAGACAATATCATCCAAGCATTATGTCATATATCGGCTTTATGTTGAACATACCTTCATCTTTCAAAATGCAGAGCCGGTAACCATCCCCTAGTTTAGACTTGAGGTAAGATGGGGTACCAGCACATTTCAGCTTGCCGTCTGCTATAATTAGAATCCTATCTCCCAAAGTCTCCGCCTCATCCATGTGGTGTGTGGACACCATTATTGTCCTTCCTAAAAGATGAAAGTTAACTATCAGCTTGTTTTATATTCTTTATATTTTAACTTTTAATATGCTAGCATCAATAGTAAGTTGCCTGTACCAAAACCAGCCTGCACTTTTATGCATTATGCAAGTAATGCAAAAAAACAAGCATAATTGTTGAATGGGTTATGCCAAAGAAAGCAGTACTATTGATAGTTTTACAATATTTACCTGTCTTGCCAAAACTGGCAGCCAATAACTGAGGTACATTTTCTATATCAAAATAAGAAAAAGCAATATAAACAGCGGATTTAGGTGGATTCTATTGAAAAAATGGTGTAGGTGTCAAAAAATTCTAATGCTTAATGATAAGTTTAAATCCTAGGAGGTACATGTATAAGAAAAGGGTCATTAAATGAGAACTCAATCTTAAGTTATTTTAATTGGCTCTTGTGAATTTTACCAGGTTTAAATAAGGCACTGCTTCAGGATTTTTTACAACAAGGGGTTAAAAAGTTTAGACACGAAGTAATTCATTTTCAAAAGAGGTTTGAGGGGTGGTTGGGGGGGGGGGGGTTGGCAATTCCACTTACATTGTGTATTTCAGTTCATTTTGCATGGTTTTCAATAATAAATGTAATTGGACATTCAATTCCCGAAGGGGTTGATATACAGGCCAAATTCCTGTGTTGGAAGGTGACATGACTCAACTAAAATTACAGTCATCACTTTAAGTATACCTGTCTTGTATTTGTTGAGCAGATTCCAGATGGCTCTACGTGAGTAGGGGTCGACACCGGCAGTAGGCTCGTCCAAGATCACTGTGCGTGATCCTCCAACAAATGCTATGGCTATAGAAAGTTTCCTCTGCATGCCACCAGAGAGTGCATCTGGGCGTGAATCCCCTTTGTTCTCTAGGCTGAGATCTGACAACATTCTGTCAATAAAATAATAATACTCAATAATTGTAATATTACGTAAATAATTAACAACTTGAGGAAACCTATTTATAGATATATATTTGTTTGGGCCTGTTCAAGACTTTTTTGGTTGGGTATTAAGTTAACACCAGTACTAAACTTTAGGTCATATGGTGACTTTCCGATCTAGGAAGACCCCAGGTTCCTCTTTGTGCAAAAGGTTCAGGCATGAGCAGGCACTTGAGTTAAAAACCACTGGCATACTGCAAGCAAGATCAGGATAGCTGCCTGATGTGAAATAATCAAAAGTCACTGTCAGGATTTGAACCCACAATGATGTTCAAGAATATGTTTGACTGTAATCCTGTGTGTAGCATAGCATAGGTAAATATCATTGATTGTATGATTTCTGTAGCTACAGAAATAACTAATACATTTTGCTTTGTGTTTGCGCAATTAAAAATTAAGCAAACAAGAACCGGTTGAACCGGGTGATGCTCCCCGAGAAGGTTCTGGACACAGGAAAGTATAAAAAAAATGAACAAAGGGCAAAAACTCCAAAATTAGGCAAAGCGGAGTTATGTTTTTTTGCACTGCACTTCTATTCAATGAGATCTATCTATCTATAAAGTTTCCTGATGATATCAGAATTATGTCCCAGGTAAAAGTCAAAGTGTAAAAATGAACAAAGGGCAATAACTCCAAAATTAGACCAGGCTTTGTTTAGGTTCTTTAAGCATTGCAATTCTATCCAATTATATCTAGCTACCTACAAAGTTTCATGTTGATATCTCTAATAGTTTTAAAGTATTGTCCAGGACAAAGTCAAAAAGTAAAAATAAACAAAGGGCAATTACTTCAAAATAAGGCAAGGCAGAGTTACGGTTCTTGTGCACTGCACTTCCACCCAATGAGACCTATCTATCTACAAAGTTTCATGTTGATATCTCTTATAATTTTAGAGTAATGTCCCAGACAAAGTCAAAGTGTCAAAATGAACAAAGGGCAATAACTCCAAAAGAAGGCAAGGCAGAGTTACTGTTCTTGTGCACTGCACACCTACTCAATGAGATCTATCTACCTACAAAGTTTCATGTTGATACCTCTTATACTTTTAGAGTTATGTCCCGGACAAAGATCAAAGTGTAAAATAAACAAAGGGGGATAATTCAAAAATAAGACAAGGCAGAGTTACCGTTCTTGTGCACTGCACACCTACTCACTGAGATCTATCTACCTACAAAGTTTCATGTTGATACCTCTTATACTTTTAGAGTTATGTCCCGGACAAATTTCAAAGTGTAAAATAAACAAAGGGGGGTAATTCAAAAATTAGGCAAGGCAGAGTTACGGTTCTTGTGCACTGCACACCTACTCAATGAGATCTATCTACCTACAAAGTTTCATGTTGATACCTCTTATACTTTTAGAGTTATGTCCCGGACAAAGTTCAAAGTGTAAAATAAACAAAGGGGGATAATTCAAAAATTAGGCAAGGCAGAGTTATGGTTCTTGTGCACTGCACACCTACTCAATGAGATCTATCTACCTACAAAGTTTCATGTTGATACCTCTTATATTTTTAGAGTTATGTCCCGGACAAAGTTCAAAGTGTAAAAATAAACAAAGGGGAATAATTCAAAAATTAGGCAAGGCAGAGTTACGGTTCTTGTGCACTGCACACCTACTCAATGAGATCTATCTACCTACAAAGTTTCATGTTGATACCTCTTGCTGTTTCAAAGTTATGTCCCGGACAAGAAAAGGGGACGGACGGACGGACGGACGGACGGACGGACGGCCGGACGGACGGACGGACAAGGCGGCGACTATATGCTCCCCCGAAATTTTTTCGGGGAGCATAAAAATGCATTTTCTTAACATAATTATGGAATGTGATTTATGTTTGAAATATTTAAATGATAATATTTTGTATGATGATGTATTTTGTACAAGTCTGAAATAAAGTTTATGTTTTGTTCTGTTTTAAAAGAAAATGTACATGCATAAGTACATGTCTACCTAAATTACTATCAATATGTCCTAAGACAATGGCTTTGCGGGATCGAATCAAACCGAGCCTGCAACATTTTCAATTTTGCTGTGTTGGGCTTTCTTTAGGGATTCTGTATTTATCTGTTTTATGATCACATCCGTGTTATTTGTGCCGTGTGGCGGCTGTAAAAAGTCTCCCCGTACATTTAATCAATGTTTTTTATATTTTCGATCCTTGAAGATCGTTCAGCACGACATTATTGTTGTGCTTGTGGTATTTTTAGTTTCAATTTTTCGGCATTTTCTAGTTGGGTGGTTCCAATATTCCTACTTGAATAATGTTGAATCATCCTTAGGATATGCTGCCTGCTTTTTTAATTTGTCTTTTGACGTCTTATCTGTGATACGCAGGCTTCTTAACCTCTGATCCCCTTTCAAAATTCCATTTTATTTAGTTCCGCCTATTGTTTTCTCGTTTAGGGCACACGCTTTTTATTACTTGGGGACCATATGCCGCTTTTCATGGAATGGCACGGAAGTGTCGCATTGAAGGTTCCATGATAACCGCCGTATGAACACATCTGCGGATGTTTCTAAATTCAAAATTTTACTATTTCACGTTTTAATGTTGAATTCTGCTTAAGCCGGTGCTAGGGGGCGTGGACGGTAACTTGCACTTTCCAGTACCGTCCATGAACAGGCTCAATCAAACCGAGCCTGCAACATTTTCAATTTTGCTGTGTTGGGCTTTCTTTAGGGATTCTGTATTTATCTGTTTTATGATCACATCCGTGTTATTTGTGCCGTGTGGCGGCTGTAAAAAGTCTCCTCGTACATTTAAGCAATGATGTTATATTTTCGATCCTTGAAGATCGTTCAGCACGACATTATTGTTGTGCTTGTGGTATTTTTAGTTTCAACTTTTCGGCATTTTCTAGTTGGGTGGTTCCAATATTCCTACTTGAATAATGTTGAATCACCCTTAGGATATGTTGCCTGCTTTTTAAATTTGTCTTTTGACGTCTTATCTGTGATACGCAGGCTTCATAACCTCTGATCCCCTTTCAAAATTCCATTTTATTTAGTTCCGTCCATTGTTTTCTCGTTTAGGGCACACACTTTTTATTACTTGGGGACCATAAGCCGCTTTTCATGGAATGGCACGAAAGTGTCGCATTGAAGGTTCCATGATAACCGCCGTATGAACACATCTGCGGATGTTTCTAAATTCAAAATTTTACTATTTCACGTTTAAATGTTGAATTCTGCTTAAGCCGGTGCTAGGGGGCGTGGACGGTAACTTGCACTTTCCAGTACCGTCCATGAACAGGCTCAATCAAACCGAGCCTGCAACATTTTCAATTTTGCTGTGTTGGGCTTTCTTTAGGGATTCTGTATTTATCTGTTTTATGATCACATCTGTGTTATTTGTGCCGTGTGGCGGCTGTAAAAAGTCTCCCCGTACATTTAATCAATGATGTTATATTTTCGATCCTTGAGATCACAGATCGTTCAGCACGACATTATTGTTGTGCTTGTGGTATTTTTAGTTTCAACTTTTCGGCATTTTCTAGTTGGGTGGTTCCAATATTCCTACTTGAATAATGTTGAATCACCCTTAGGATATGTTGCCTGCTTTTTAAATTTGTCTGTTGACGTCTTATCTGTGATACGCAGGCTTCATAACCTCTGATCCCCTTTCAAAATTCCATTTTATTTAGTTTCGCCCATTGTTTTCTCGTTTAGGGCACACGCTTTTTATAACTCGGGGATCATACGCCGCTTTTTATGGAATGGAACGGAAGTGTCGCATTGAAGGTTCCATGATAACCGCCGTATGAACACATCTGCGGATGTTTCTTAATTCAAAATTTTACTATTTCACTTTTAAATGTTGAATTTTGCTTAAGCCGGTGCTAGGGGGCGTGGACGGTAACTTGCACTTTCAAGTACCGTCCAGGAACAGGCTCAATCAAACCGAGCCTGCAACATTTTCAATTTTGCTGTGTTGGGCTTTCTTTAGGAATTCTGTATTTATCTGTTTCTTGTCTCAGAGATTTTCAGCATTACGTTGGTTTTAACATGAAATCTAGATCTAATTTTTTCTATGGCAAATAGACTTAAAACTACCATTTTCACTTACAAATATATTTTAAAACCCTTAAATCTTAATCAGCAGATTATACAAAATTTCATTATGGTAAACTATTCTTACCTTGGAATATTTTCTTGTATATCTCTAGCTGGAACACCCTTCAAACGTGAATAAAACCAAAGATGTTCTTCCACACTCAAACTGTAACAAAATGTTAACATGTAATAAAAACTAATCAAATATTAAAAAAAGATTACAAGATGTATAAATGGTAAACTTCTTATAAAACATAGAGAAGGTTTACCAACACTTTACACAAAAAATCCTATTACCTACCTGACCTTTAGAAATATTTTATTTCATTTTTAAATTGAACAAATATTCCAAATGTAAAATGATCAACTTTGACTTTCTTGAAGAAATTGACTTGAGCAAAAACAAAAACAAAATAAAAAGGGGATTTTTTAAGAATTATCTGCCCTATTTAAAAAAGTGATATATGTTGATAGGGAAATACATATGGTGAACTTTTTTGAGACTAGAACTCCGCGAGTCGGATGTGTCGCCTTGTGAACAATATAGTTTAGGAGAAATGGCCAGGACAAAAATGAAATACGAAAACTAACAAAGGGCAATAGCTCAAAAATAATAAGTGCAGAGCAGCAGTTTCTATGCATTGCACTTCTTATCAATAAGATCTATCATTCTAAGAAGTTTCAAGTCCATCTCTTTTATAATTTATAAGAAATGGCCTGGACAAAAATAAAATATGAAAATATATAAAGGGCAATTACTCAAAAATAAGAAATGCAGAGTACCGGTTTTGTACACTGTACTTATTCTTAATGAGATCTATCATCCTAAGAAGTTTCATGTCTATAGCTTTCATACTTGAGGAGAAATGACCTGGTTAAATGAAATACGAAAACTAACAAAGGGCAATAGCTCAAAAAATAATAAGTGAAGAGCAGCAGTTTCTATGCACTGCACTTCTTATCAATAAGATCTATCATTCTATGAAGTTTCAAGTCCATATCTTTTATAATTTATGAGAAATGGCCTGGACAAAAATAAAATATGAAAATATATAAAGGGTAATAACTCAAAAATAAGAAATGCAGAGTACCGGTTCTTGTACACTGCACTTTTTCTTAATGAGATCTATTATCCTAAGAAGTATCATGTCTATAGCTTTCATACTTGAGGAGAAATGACCTGGTTAAAATAAAGTACGATAACTCAAAAAATAAGAAATGCAGAGTACCGGTTTTTGTGCACTGTACTTCTTCTTAATGAGATCTATCATCCTATGAAGTTTCAAGTCCATAGCTTATATACTTGCGGAGAAATGGCCTGGACAAAAATAAAGTATGAAAATTAACAAAGGGCAATAACTCAAAAAATAAGAAATGCAGAGTACCTGTTCCTGTGCCCTGCACTTCTTCTTAATGAGATCTATCATCCTATGAAGTTTCAAGTCCATAGCTGTTATACATTAGGAGAAATGGCCCAGACAAAAATAAAGTATGAAAATTAACAAAGGGAAATAACTCAAAAATTAGACAATGCAGAGTACTGATTCTTATGCAATGCACTTCTTGTTAATGAGATCTATCATCATATGAAGTTTCATGTCCATAGCTTTTATAGTTGAAGAGAAATGGTCCGGACAAAATTAAAGTATGAAAATTTACAAAGGGCGATAACTCAAAAATTAAAAAAATGCAGAGTACCGGTCCTTGTGCACTGCACTTCGTGTTATTGAAAGAAGCATGCATACCAAGATTGAAGTCAATCCAACGTAAAGTGACTGAGCTATGCTCTGGACAAGCTTTAGGGGACGCCGACACCGACAACGACGCCGACACCGCCGACGCCGCCGACAAAAGTAATCCCTATATGTCGCCTTTTCAAGGCGACACAAAAATGGAACAACTTTGCAAAAATTTATTTTAGGATTATCTGCTCTTTTATTTAAATAAACATGTGAATATAACTTTGTTTCTGAGAAAATGGCCCTCAATGAAAATGTTTATCATTGCTGATGCATATTCCAATGCTTCCGAAAGGCTCATGACAAAAGCTTGAAAAGTAAAGCTTACAATATATTTTGGTGAAGATAAATCAAATATAATCATATATATTCCATTTTTCAAAACTTAATAAAAAAACATAGGGTATAGAAAAGTGTATATCAAAATTATATTCAAAATAAATTACGCACATTTTATGTAGATATTGTCAGTCATTTTATCATTTTGTAAACATGTATATGAAATTCCTATTTTACCTTTCAAACAAAACATTATATTGTGGACACATCCCTAGATCCTGTCTTATAGTATCCATATCTGACATCACATTATGACCATATATGGTAGCAGTACCAGATGTGGGCGGGAACATGCCTGTTAATATTGACCTGAAAAAAGGTGTTCAATATTTTAAAATAACTAGAGAATTAACATTTCAATGAAAACCAGCAACAAAATTACCATATACTATACTGTTTAACATGTTCTTTAACGTTTACCATGCTCAATATCTTAAACAGACTCATCAACCTTTTAAATCCAAACAAAAACATTCATCATTTATAAGAAAAAAATTCAAAATGTTGACTGACTGAATGGCGAACAGTGCAGACTATGAAGAAACAGAAAGGATGGCATGTATTGGTAAATTATGTCTCCGCAAGCATGCTAACAGTTTAGCTGCAATAACAATTAGGCATTCAAAATGTGTAAGTTAGATCATATATAACAACTGCATTTCCACAATAACATGAAACAATTTTTGTAAATAAGACCCTATATAACAATTGCATGTCATAAATAAAAAGAAGCAACTTTTTTTCTTTCAGTTTATTAACTGTCACATTTCTGTAGGCCATAGTGATTGTTCCTGAAGATATGATACATTTTCTGGAGGTAGAGTTAAGATCAATTGTTAAATTCAAGAGTCGATCCTGATCCTTCAACATGTCTGGTAAAGTGCACCTACACACGTGACCACCGTTAATAATGTTTCAACGGAAAGACCAATACTACAGAAAGTAAAGGAGCTGATACCCAAACCTGTGACCTATTGATAACCAGTGCAGAACGTTATCAATTGAAGTGGAATGTGAAACATGTTACAGGTTACTACAGAGTTTAACAACAAAACCTGAATGAAATCGCATCTCACCATAATTTAAGTTTCCTCAACCATGAAAATTTAAGCTGACACGCTCTAAATGTTACAAATAAAATGGCGTGATGTGATTAAACATTAACACCAAGTTTCTGTTGTTTATACAAATAATGTACATCATAGAAAAAATTCAACTGTTAACTCAATGTATCTAATATTAAAATTGGGGTAATGATTACAGCTAAAACAAGATATGTTTGTAAAACATGTATCCCCCCTATCAGCAGCCAATTAGTCATGTGATAAGGTTACTATGCATGACTTCTGACCCAGTGATCAAACAATTAATAAGGGTTATCAAGTATCTACTGGTCATGACCTTGACCTTTGACCCCTTGACCCAAAACTCAATAGGGGTCATCTGCTGGTCACGACCAATCATCATACAAAGTTTGAAGTTCCTAGGCCTAAGCGTTTTTAGTTAATTGATCAGAAACCGTTTTTACCTACAAGGTCAATGTGACCTTGACCTTTGACCCCTTGACCCCAAAATCAATAGGGGTCATCTGCTGGTCATGACCAATCACCATGCCAAGTTTGAAGTTCCTAGGCCTAAGGGTTCTTTTATTATTGATCAGAAACCGTTTTAACATACAAGGTCAATGTGACCTTGACCTTTGACCCCAAAATCAATAGGGGTCATCTGCTGGTCATGACCAATCACCATGCCAAGTTTGAAGTTCCTAGGCAGAAGCGTTCTTTAGTTATTGATCAGAAACCGTTTTTACTTACAAGGTCAATGTGACCTTGACCTTTAACCCCTTGATCCCAAAATCATAAGGGGTAATCTGCTGATCATGACAAATCACCATACCAAGTTTAAAGTTTCTAGGCCTAAGCGTTCTTAAGTTATTGATCAGAAACCGTTTTTACTTACAAGGTTAATGTGACCTTGACCTTTGACCCCTTGACCCAAAACTCAATAGGGGTCATCTGCTGGTTACAACCAATCATCATACAAAGTTTGATGTTCCTAGGCCTAAGCGTTTTTAGTAAATTGATCGGAAACTGTTTTTACCTACAAGGTCAATGTGACCTTGACCTTTGACCCCTTGACCCCAAAATTAAAATGTCCTCTGCTGGTCATAAACAATCATCATACCAAGTTTGAAGTTCCTAGGCCTAAGGGTTCTTAAGTTATTGATCGGAAAGCATTTTTACCTACAAGGTCAATGTGACCTTGCCCTTTGACCCCTTAACCCCAAAATCAATAGGGGTCATTTGCTGGTCATGACCAATCACCATACCAAGTTTGAAGTTCCTAGGCCTAAGGGTTCTTTAGTTATTGATCGGAAACCGTTTTTACCTAAGAGGTCAATGTGACCTTGACCTTTGACCCCTTGACCCCAAAATCAATGGGGGTCATCTGCTGGTCATGTCCAATCACCATACCAAGTTTGAATTTCCAGGGCCTAAGGGTTCTTTAGTTATTGATCGGAAACCGTTTTTACCTACAAGGTCAATGTGACCTTGACCTTTGACCCTTTGACCCCAAAATCAATAGGGGTCATCTGCTGGACATGACCAATCACCATACCAAGTTTGAAGTTCCTAGGCCTTAAGGTTCTTTTGTTATTGATCGGAAACCGTTTTACCCAAGAGGTCAATGTGACCTTGACCTTTGACCCCTTGACCCAAAAATCAATAGAGGTCATTTACTGATCATGACCATCACCATACCAAGTTTGAAGTTCCTGGGCCTTAAGGTTTTTTAGTTATTGATTGGAAACCGTTTTTGCTTACAAGGTCAATGTGACCTTGACCTTTGACCCCTTGACACCAAAATCAATAGGGGTCATCTACTGGTCATGACCAATCACCATACCAAGTTTGAAGTTCCTAGGCCTAAGGGTTCTTTAGTTATCACTCGGAAACCATTTGGTCTACGGACCGACGGACCGACAGACCGACGGACCGACGGAACGACAAGTGCAAAGCAATATACCCCCTTTTCTTCGAAATGGGGGCATAATAACTCTGTTTCTGCTTAAAATACATAACAAAGAACAAGAACAAAAGCCTACTCTTACTTTAACATATTGTGTGTAATGGTGTTAACTGTATATAGTTATACTAACATTGTTGTTGTTTTCCCAGCACCATTGTGACCGAGGAACGCAGTGATCTCATTCTCATACAACTTCATAGACAGACTGTCTAATGCTGGTTTATCTCCCTTCCTGTATACCTAGCATATCAAAAAATAAATACATTATGTATATTTTTCAGTATTCATATCAAAATAAAGGGAAAGAATTTAGCAAACTAGAATTCCGCGAGTCGGATGTGTCGCTTTGTGAACAATATAGTTTAGGAGAAATGGCCAGGACAAAAATAAAATATGAAAATTAACACAGGGAAATAACTCAAAAAATAAGGAATGCAGAGCGGCAGTTTCTGTGCACTGCACTTCTTATCAGTACGATCTATCATCCTATTTAGTTTCAAGTCTATAGCTTTTATAATTTATGTGAAATGGCCTGGACAAAAATTAAGTATGAAAATTAATAAAAGGTAATAACACAAAAATAAGAAGTGCAGAGTACTAGTTCTTGTACACTGCCCTTTACCTCAATAAGATCTATCATCCTATGAAGTTTAAAGACCATAGCTTTTATACTTTAGGAGAAATGGCCTGGACAAAAAGTATGAAAATTAACAAAGGGCAATAACTCAAAAATTATAAAGTGCACAGTACCGTTTCTTGTGCACTGCACTCCTTCTTAATAAGATCTATCATCCTATGAAGTTTCAAGTCCATAGTTTTTATACTTTAGGAGAAATGGCCCAGACCAAAATAAAGTATGAAAATTAACAAAGGGCAGTAACTCAAAAATTAAGAAATGCAGGGTTCTGTTTCTTGTGCACTGCTCTTTGGGTCATTATAAGAAGCATGCATACCAAGTTTGAAGTCAATCAGACTTATAATGACTGACTTATGGTCCGGACAAGCTTAAGGGGACGCCGACACCGACCCCAACAACGACGCCGACTTCGCCGCAAACAAAAGTAACCCCTATATGTTGCCTTTTTCAAGGCGACACAAAAATGCCCTTCAGGATTATCTGCCCTTTAGAAATGCATTTTAATCTTTTGAGTAAACATGTAATTATCAAATTGTAAGTTATTAAAGGGACATAACTTTGTAAAATATAAATTTAGGATTATCTGCCCTTGTGAAATTGTATTGGATGAGTAAATTAGTTTAAAGCTGTGATAGTTTCTAAGAAAATGGACCTTAACATATAAAAGGTCACAATGATCTTTGACCTTTTGACCATATAATCTGTGTGACAGGCTGAAATCACCAAGGTTTATCCACATTATAGTCGTGTTGGGGTTGGGTTCATTGAATGCAGCCTTTCCGTGTTGATCTTGTTTATCAAATTATATTACTATTGAAATTACTGACGATGTGGAAACTTAACCAAAAAGGTTAATCAACGCCGACAAGCTGATCATGACAAAACCTCTTAATTAAAAAAATCAATCTTGACATACCAATGCAATATATTTAAGTCTTGTATAATATGTATAGTTAAATCTTGACCTATGGATGTATTAATCTTGATAGAAGGGTATATGATTCATATTAACCTTTCTCAAGTTGTTCACAACTACTCCTCTTGTCAAGTCTCGTGGGTCCGGTTCAAATGTACAGATACAGTCTGTGTTACACCCACACCAATATATACCTGAAAATATTTATTATATGTTGTCACAAAGTGAAACTGTCCTGAACTCATATTGTTCAGCGTAGGGAGATTTCTCATAAAATATGACATTTTATTTAATTTTACCCATGAAATTTGGAGCTATATCAGTCATATAAAATTTCATATTTGTTTATTATAAATATGAAAATAGGCGGTGTCAAAACTCATACTTATTTTAAGGGACTTTTTTGCCATTTTGTTTAAAAAATCTGATAAATAAAAGAACAATTGTTGAATTTTGTTTTGAAAACTATCCAGAATGATAGAAAATGGTCTAACTAAGAAAATAAATCTGAACGCCAATATCTTTAATTCGGTCATTAATGCTGTACAGATGTTTAAAGAGCTGTTTACGTGACATCACAATGTGGCGCCAAACATCACGTACAAAACAAGATGCATCTATAAATAATAAATATACTGTGCGCTGTACAATTGCAAGGGGATTCGTAACAATTTTTCTTGATAATGAAATTAAAGATCCTGTAACACATTTTTTACCATGGTTTTATTTCATAAATATGATGCTCAAATTAAAATTTATCAATATTGTAAGTTCCAATAAGCATTATTTATAAAGATATTACCGAATTTAACATTTCATGTAAATAAAAGGAGGTGATTAGAAATTTATGTTCTATAAATTCTAAGTCAAATTTTCCAATAAGAAATGAATGCATATAATTTATTGGTTAAATATAATGTGCACAAACATTTGCAGTTCACATTCGTTTTTCGTGAAAAATGGTATCGGGGTATATATTTTCACTCGTGGAAATATGTGGAATTTTATCATGTTTTGTGAAAATATATTCCAAATTTTACTCAAACAAAAAAATATCCTATTAATATCCGTTAAAGCTTTAAAATGATCATTTACAGTATGGTTAAATTAAGGCAAATATATTGAAACATTGAGCCCTGTTTCCACAGTAAAGCATTCATGTTATCACTAAGAATTGATTTATTTAACTATAGGTTATATCTACATGTATATAACTTCCTAAAATAATGGAAAGGGAAAGAACTTCAAAAGATAAACTGAAATCAGATATACCTGAGTCATCATCAACAGTGACATCATCATTTTCCGGATCATCATTTACGAGGTTGTAACGACGTCTGCTACGATGAATTCCGAACAGACGTTTAAAACTACATGTTTCCCAAAGTGATGTTCCACACCAGTAAGTGCTTGTGAATGGAAAATACCATGGCTTTGGTATACCATAAGATCCTAATATAATAATAAAGAGTGCCATAAGATTATACCATAAGATCCTAAAATAATAACAATGGGGCCATGATGGCCCTGAGTCGCTCACCAGAAACAACAGCTTATCAGTGTTGGAATGTCAATATATTCTATTAAATTTGAGCATAGAATATGTTTAAACAATAATTTGAAGAAATGCCATGACCTGAGGCATTTAAGCTTTAGCTTAAACGGGGCTAATCAAATTAATATGAGCAAACTTGATAAAAGACTACCTAAGAATGCTACTAAGTTTGGTGATCATCTATCAATTATTTCAGTAGGAAATGATGTTCGGAGGCTTTTTCTATTTTTAGCTTTAGTGGCCCCTAAAAGGGGCCAATCAAATTAATATAAGCAAACTTGATAAAAGAGTACCCAAGAATGCTACAGACAAAGTTTGGTGATCATCCATTAATTAGTTCTGTAGGAGAAGATGTTTAAACGTATTTCTATTTTTAATTTTAGCAGCCCCTAAAAGGGGCATATCAAATTAATATGAGCAAAATTAATAAAAGACTACCAAAGAATGCTACAGACAAAGTTTGGTAACCATCCATCAATTAGTTCTGTAGCAATAGACGTTTAAATGTATATCTATTTTTAATTTAAGCGGCCCCTAAAAGGGGCCAATCAAATAATATGAGCAAACTTGATAAAAGACTACCCAACAATGCTTCAGACAAAGTTTGGTGATCATTCATCCATTAGTTCTGTAGAAATAGACATTTAAAGGTATTTCTATTTTTAGTTATAAAGGCCCGTTAAAGGGGCTTATCATATTAATATGAGCAAACTTGATAAAAGACTACCCAAGAATGCTACAAAAAAATTTGGTGATCTTCCATCAATTAGTTGTGTAGAAATAGACATTTAAAGGTATTTCTATTTTTTAGCTTTTGCGGCCCCTAAAACGGGCCAATCAATTTAATATGAGCAAACTTGAATTTAATATGAGCAAATTTGATAAAACACATCCCGAGAATGCTACAGACAAAGTTTGGTGATCATCCATCAATTAGTTCTGTAGGAGAAGATGTTTAAAGGTTTTTCTATTTTTAGCCCTACAGACCCCTAAAAGGGGCCAATCAAAATTATATTAGCAAACTGGATAAAAGACTACCTAAGAATGCTACAGACAAAGTTTAGTGATCATCCACCAATAAGTTCTCTAGAAATAGACATTTTAAGGTATTTCTATTTTTAGCTTTAGCGGCCCCTAAAAGGGGCCAATCATATTAATATAAGCAAACTTTATAAGACACTACCCAAGAATGCTACAGACAAAGTTTGGTGATCATCAATTAATTAGTTCTGTAGAAATAGACATTTAAAGGTTTTTCTATTTTTAGCTTTAGCCGCCCCTAAAAGAGGCCAATCAAATTAATATCAGCAAACTTGATAAAAGACTACCCAAGAATGCTACAGACAAAGTTTGGTGATCATCTATCCATTGGTTCTGTAGGAGAAGATGTTTAAATGTTTTTCTATTTTTAGCCCTAGAGACCCCTAAAAGAGGCCAATCAAATTAATATGAGCAAACTTGATAAAAGACTTCCAAAGAATGCTACAGACAAAGTTTGGTAACCATCCATCAATTAATTCTGTAGCAATAGACGTTTAAATGTATATCTATTTTTAATTTAAGCGGCCCCTAAAAGGGGCCAATCAAATAATATGAGCAAACTTGATAACAGACTACCCAACAATGCTTCAGACAAAGTTTGGTGATCATCCATCAATCAGTTCTCTAAAAATATACATATAAAGGTATTTCTATTTTTAGCTTTAGCGGCCCCTAAAAGGGGCCAATCAAATTAATATGAGCAAACTTGATTAAACACTACCCAAGAATGCTACAGACAAAGTTTGGTGATCATCCATCAATTAGTTCTGTAGAAATGGACATTTAAAGGTTTTTATATTTTTAGCTTTAGCGGCCCCTAAAAGGTGCCAATCAAATTCATATGAGCAAACTTGATAAAAGACTACCCAAGAATGCTACAGACAAAGTTTGGTGATCATCCATCCATTGGTTCTGTAGAAGAAGATGTCTAAAGGTTTTTCTATTTTTAGCCCAAGAGACCCCTTAAAGGGGCCAATCAAATTAATATGAGCAAACTTGATAAAAGACTTCCCAAGAATGCTACAGACAAAGTTTGGTGATCATCCATCCATTAGTTCTGTAGAAGAAGATGTTTAAAGGTTTTTCTATTTTTAGCTCTGCTGACCCCTAACAGCGGCCAACTGGAATAATATGAGCAAATACAAGTGTGACTGTCACAAGGATGCTACAGACCAAATTTGAAGTAAATTGGCTTAGTAGTTTCAGAGAAGAAGATGATTGTTGACGCATGACGACGGACGATGGACGCCGGAGCATCCCTCTTTGATAATAACAGCTCACCCTGAGCCTTCGGCTCTGGTGAGCTAATAAAAAGTGCAATGGCCTAAATATACCATAAGATTTTGAAATAATGAAAAATGCCATGGCCTAAATATACCATAAGATTCTGAAATAACGAAAAAAGTCATGGCCTAAATATACCGTAAGATTTTAAAATAATAAAAAAAGCCATGGCCTAAATGTACCATAAGATTCTGAAATAATAAAAAATGCCATAGCATAAATATACTATAAGATTCTGAAATAATAAAAAAAACTGCCATGACCTAAATATACCATAACATTCTGAAATAATGAAAAATGCCATGGCCCAAATATACCATATTAGTTCCTGATATAATGGAAATCACTATATGGTTTGATGTACATGTACAAAGAAAATAATATGGGTCTTGTATTGGCTTTTGTATACTGGAAGTTCATTAAATAATGAAACAATACCATGGCTATGGTAGACAGTTATTATAATGTTTCTGAAATAATGCTTTGGTATGCCATTATTCCTGGCATAATGGAAATTATATCTAAAGAATGTGACTCATTTGATATATAGGATGAACGTAAGTTGATGGCATTTTCCATGCAAAAACTAGAAAATCCAGGATAATTTGCAAGAAGAACGGTTAATTACATATACCAGTTCTAAAAAGAATAAAAGACTAAGTTCTAATTTTACCTGGATTTACATTCTCTATATACCAGGCCAGTATAAAGTAAAAAACAGTGTCTACTGCTATCATTATCAACACAATCTGTAGACTAAAATTATCATATTCCCGTGGTGACACATGTAGGTTCTCCCACTGTACACCTGAACCCTCTAACTCATAAAACAGGAAATACTTCCCACCTAGACCCAGAGCTGATGTTGGAAATATTGCCTGAAAAATAAGTTTTTATTACTGAGATTATATAAAAAATACAATGTATTCTGTTTCATTAATTTCAATTTTCCTATTTTTAAGACAAAATATCCCTCAGAAATGTTATTATTTTTATTTCACAAAGCATTTTAGTTTTGGTGTTCTGTTGTAGTTTATAGACAGTTTATCGGCCATTTCACAACTGAACCATATTTTGGTTTTATTGCCTTCTGTGAATTAGAAACATTATAGTGACTTACTATTTTGCTTTACTCAGAATTTACTTAACTTTGATTGTGTATGAATCTATAAGCGTATAATAGACATACTTGCAAATCTGTTCCTGAAACCAATCAGTACTGAGTGTAAATGTGTGTAAAATTTCTTGCTTAAGGAAACAAGGACTAATTATTGCCTCCAACAGTTTTTACTCTTTTAATCAACTTAATTCTACAAGTTTCTAGCAAGAATATAAAGGCTGGCCTGACCCTATAATAATGTCAAAGGCGTGCTACTTGGTTATGGCAGGGTAAGGGCCAACATGTATAGATGTCAGTTACTTACAGCAATAGTTTTAATGTATGCTGGTATCCTGGTCCCCGTTAAATCCTCTCTGATGGCTATATACATGTATGGTACGTATGTTATAAAGTAAAATATACCCGCACATGCTGCAGCAAGTTTAGCTCGCGAGAACATACTGCTAATCAAAAACCTGAAATACAATAGAAAAACAAGAACAAATTAGATGTTTTTAACTCAATTTGGGCTTCAATGACACCATATAATGATCTTCAATTGAATTACAAGTACATTTTTTTATGTTTTTTCATATGTTTCTGTTTATTCTATGTATGATTTTTAAATTTCATGGCTTTTCGACCTCAGTCTTAGTTCCTTTAACTGATATACTTACGAAAAGGCAATAGAAGACAGGGCAAACATTTCCAGGAACATAAACACTATGACTGGATTACTATGAGATAGTACACGTCCATAATATAACATTAACGTCAGCGTTACCACGGTAACAGTCATCTGTACCGCGGCAGTTATAAACCACGCCCACCAGTGTACACTGTCTGATAAGCCCATCATCTTCATTACCTGTATGAATAAATCTTATATTATAATAGTGGGATACATAACTAATGAGTGAAATATAACCTATATCGTTTATCATATATCATTCATCCTATATCGCTCATTGTTGACCACATATATCACACATAAAAAGCAAGTTCAGTTTTTAGAATATGCTGCTTCAGTATAACATTTTTAATAAACAAGAATACTATAATCATTATACGTTCATAAATGCTTGTAAAATATTTTATGGAAACCAAAGAAAAGCAAAAAATACTTAATAACCATTTTAAGGGATATTAACATGCAATATCAGGAGTGCCAACAAGTCATTTGAAAACAAAACAAAAAAGGCAAAATATTAAAGAGGTAAAATAAGATAACAAAAATTTACAAGTATTTCAAACCTCTTTTAATCTCTTCTCCTTTTCATAGACAATTTTCTGTACGAGCATAGCTACTGAATAAACCCATGACAACATCAAACATAGTGGTATTATATGTTGTATAAGCCAGATAAATCTGAAATCAAACATAGTGGTATATAATATGCTGTATTAGCCAAATGAATCTTAAATCAAACATAGTGGTATAATATGTTTTATTAGCCAGATAAATCTAAAATCAAACATGGTGGTATAGCATGTTGTATTAGCCAGATAAATCTGAAATCAAACATAGTGGTATAATATGTTGTATAAGCCAGATAAATCTGAAATCAAACATAGTGGTATAACATGTTGAATTAGCAAGATGAATCTGAAATCAAACATAGTGGTATAATATGTTGTATTAGCCAGATAAATCTGAAATCAAACATAGTGGTATAATATGTTGTATTAGCCAGATAAATCTGAAACTAAACATAGTGGTATAATATGTTGTATGAGCCAGATGAATCTAAAATCAAACATAGTGGTATAATATGTTGTATAAGCGAGATAAATCTGAAATTAAACATAGTGGTATAATATGTTGTATTAGCCAGATAAGTCTGAAATCAAACATAGTGGTATAATATGTTGTATTAGCCAGATGAATCTGAAATCAAACATAGTGGTATAATATGTTGTATTAGCCAGATAAATCTGAAATCAAACATAGTGGTATAATATGTTGTATTAGCCAGATGAATCTGAAATCAAACATAGTGGTATAATATGTTGTATTAGCCAGATAAATCTGAAATCAAACATAGTGGTATAATATGTTGTATAGCCAGATAAATCTGAAATCAAACATGTGGTAAAATATGTTGTATTAGCCAGATATATCTGAAATTAAACATATTGGTATAACATGTTGTATTAGCCAGATGAATCTGAAAACAAACATAGTGGTATAAAATGTTGTATTAGACAGATTAATCTGAAATCAAACATAGTGGTATAAAATGTAGTATTAGACAGATAAATCTGAAATCAAACATAATGGTATAATATGTTGTATTAGCCAGAATGAAATCTGAAATCAAACATAGTGGTATAATATGTTGAATTAGCCAGATAATATCTGAAATCAAACATAGTGGTATAATATGTTGTATTAGCCAGATGAATCTGAAATCAAACATAGTGGTATAATATGTTGTATTAGCCAGATGAAATCTGAAATCAAACATGGTGTATAATATGTTGTATTAGCCAGATAAATCTGAAATCAAACATAGTGGTATAATATGTTGTATTAGCCAGATAAATCTGAAATCAAACATAGTGGTATAATATGTTGTATTAGCCAGATGAATCTGAAATCAAAACATAGTGGTATAATATGTTGTATTAGCCAGATAAATCTGAAATCAAACATAGTGGTATAATATGTTGTATTAGCCAGATGAATCTGAAATCAAACATAGTGGTATAATATGTTGTCTGAAATAGCCAGATGAAATCTGAAATCAAACATAGTGGTATAATATGTTGTATTAGCCAGATGAATCTGAAATCAACATAGTGGTATAATATGTTGTATTAGCCAGATGAATCTGAAATCAAACATAGTGGTATAATATGTTGTATTAGCCAGATAATCTGAAATCAAACATAGTGGTATAATATGTTGTATTAGCCAGATGAATCTGAAATCAAACATAGTGGTATAATATGTTGTATTAGCCAGATGAAATCTGAAATCAAACATAGTGGTATAATATGTTGTATTAGCCAGATGAATCTGAAATCAAACATAGTGGTATAATATGTTGTATTAGCCAGATGAATCTGAAATCAAACATAGTGGTATAATATGTTGTATTAGCCAGATAAATCTGAAATCAAACATAGTGGTATAATATGTTGTATTAGCCAGATGAATCTGAAATCAAACATAGTGGTATAATATGTTGTATTAGCCAGATGAATCTGAAATCAAACATAGTGGTATAATATGTTGTATTAGCCAGATGAATCTGAAATCAAACATAGTGGTATAATATGTTGTATTAGCCAGATAAATCTGAAATCAAACATAGTGGTATAATATGTTGTATTAGCCAGATAAATCTGAAATCAAACATAGTGGTATAATATGTTGTATTAGCCAGATTCATCTGAAATCAATCATAGTGGTATAATATGTTGTATTAGCCAGATTAATCTGAAATCAAACATGGTATTATAATATGTTGTATTAGCCAGATGAATCTGAAATCAAACATAGTGGTATAACATGTTGTATTAGCCAGATGAATCTGAAATCAAACATAGTGGTAAAATATGTTGTATTAGCCAGATAAATCTGAAATCAAACATAGTGGTATAATATGTTTCTATTAGCCAGATAAATCTGAAATCAAACATAGTGGTATAATATGTTGTTTTAGCCAGATGAATCTGAAATCAAACATGGTGGTATAATATGTTGTATTAGCCAGATGAATCAGAAATCAAACATAGTGGTATAATATGTTGTATGAGCCAGATAAATCTGAAATCAAACATAGTGGTATAATATGTTGTATTAGCCAGATAAATCTGAAATCAAACATAGTGGTATAATATGTTGTATTAGCCAGATGAATCTGAAATCAAACATAGTGGTATAATATGTTGTATTAGCCAGATAAATCTGAAATCAAACATAGTGGTATAATATGTTGTATTAGCCAGATGAATCTGAAATCAAACATAGTGGTGTAATATGTTGTATTAGCCAGATAAATCTGAAATCAAACATAGTGGTATAATATCTTGTATTAGCCAGATAAATCTGAAATCAAACATAGTGGTATAATATCTTGTATTAGCCAGATAAATCTGAAATCAAACATAGTGGTATAATATGTTGTATTAGCCAGATAAATCTGAAATCAAACATAGTGGTATAATATGTTGTATTAGCCAGATGAATCTGAAATCAAACATAGTGGTATAATATGTTGTATTAGCCAGATAAATCTGAAATCAAACATAGTGGTATAATATGTTGTATTAGCCAGATGAATCTGAAATCAAACATAGTGGTATAATATGTTGTATTAGCCTGATAAATCTGAAATCAAACATAGTGGTATAATATGTTGTATTAGCCAGATAAATCTGAAATTCAACATAGCGGTATAACATGTTGTATAAGCCAGATAAATCTGAAAACAAAAATTTATTGTCATAATAAGTTAACAAATTTTATAAGGGGAGGTAACAAGTGCCTTAATTACATAATTAATATTAGGAGATAACAAACCCTTCACAAAAAAGCTTTACCAATGGAGATGAAGTAATAAATGTCTTCATAACTTAATAATAGCAACAATAACTTTTTTTACAAATTGTTACTAAATCACTTATAAATTACTACATTAATGTTTTTATTATTATAAAATGAGTTGTACATGAAAAGTCCAAAACATTTTAGAAAGTCTAAGACAAAATGAAACCTTCAAATTGATAAATGTAGCTTCAGTCTAATTTTCAAAATATTGAACTCTTATAGTTAACAGAGTATCAAGGGAGACAACTCACGCATCCCACAGCCAACAAGGATATGGCATTCTGTGTAGGAAAGTTCCTGGTCTGGTTACCGGCTTCCCAACCTGTATCTCAATAATTGCTCTCTCTACCAGGTCCTGTATGGATGTAAAGTAATAAATATGATTACAATGATTCCAGTATTAGAATTGTAACCTTAAAGGAACTCAACTTGGATTCAAAAACCTAAAACCAGAAAATTTGAATTTCTTATATAGAAAGCTTGGGCAAACTGAAAATATATTTAAAATATAATTAAAATTATATAAAGAAATTAATTTGAAAGCCTATTTTCGTGCTATTCTTAGTGAGTGAAAACATGACATAACTTTTTAATTTTGGTCATTTTGCACATTAAGAATAATTATTTTGGAAAAACAGAATGAGAAAATGATCTGAAATTTTGCAAAAAAGTTATTGGTCTAGACCTACATCAAATGGAAAATTAATCTTGAAAAACTATTTTCAGCCTCATCACATCAAAAATCTCAGTGGAGTCCCTTTAAGAGACGTATTACTCTGTCTCAATTATTGTCAACAAAAATGTGTTGAAAAAGGTGTTGAAATGTCCGGAATTTAGAAAAAAAAACCTTAAAGGTTCTTTACCTTGAATGTCAAGGACTCTTAAAGGTCAAGGACAAATTTTAATAGGTTAAAAGGAAAGCTCTTGAATATAGGTAAATTTGTATTAAAGTATGATATCATCTAGCATTCAGAAGGAAATGCCAGAAAATAATTTTAACTTTTTTACCTGTATCCACACAAAACCAAAGTCATAGTAGAGTAAATTATTTGAACCGGGGCTCGGGTACCAGAATGGTGGTCTAATTTTGTTGGTTTCCGGATTTAATGTTGCGTTTTGTCTGATCTTATAGCGGACATGTGACGGCAGTGTGTACACGTGATCATTAAAGTTCTCGAAAACCAGCCCTGAAATATAACAATAGAAAAATCAGTTACTAATGATAAAAATATATACATGTATATAAAATATTAATAAATTACACTGCTTTATAAGGTATTATAAACATAACATCACATGCTCTAGACAAACTAATTAAGTATGAAAAATAACAAAGAGCAATAACTCCAACATTATACAAAATAAATTTCTTTTTCACTTCTTAATGAGATTATCCCCCAATAAAGTTTCATTAAACTTATAACTTTTGAATTATGCCACAGTAAAAAAAAGAATGAAAAAAAATACAAATGGTTATTAATCCAAAATTATGCAAAAGAGAGTTGCGATTCTTGTGTACTATATTTTTGTAATAATATCTATCCATCTATGGAGTTTCAAAAGTAATAATAAATTTAAGTTCTAACTCAGCAAAATTGAGTATGAAAACTTGCAAGGGCAAATTGCTCAAAATTACGCAAAAGTGAGTTATTGTTCTTGACTCATGATTCATTTAAAATTTGCTTATCTATAAAGTTTAAGTTTCCATTATAACTCGAGTCGGATGTATCGACTTGTCAACAATATAGCTGTCACATAGGCATTTTGTAGGTTATTTATAAACACTACTTTTGCAATGTACATGTACCTTTAACTTTAGTGGCATTTGAACTGATTGTAACAATTTAATGTCAGGATTAATAAAACTGTTATATCATCAATAATAAAAATACCATGGAACAATTATACACTGACAGATCAAATGGAGGGCTCTGTGATGGATTCTTAAGCTCTGCACTTCAGGTCAATGGGGAAAAAAGCTTGCCTACCAAATTTGGAGTCAATCAAACTTATAGTGACCAAGTTATGCTCTTTACAAGCCTATAAAGTATGAAAACTAACAAAGGGCAATATTTAAAAGATCATGAAGTGCAGTTTACAAGTTCTTGTGTACTGCACTTCTTCTCAAAAAGATCCTTCATCCTATGCCGTTTCAAGTCAATAGATTTTAAAGTGTAAGAGAAATGGCCTGGAAAAAAAACTTTGAAAATTAACAAAGAACAATAAGTAAAAAATCATGAAGTAGAGAGTACCAGTTCTTGTGCATTGCACTGTTTCTTAATGAAATCTATCATCGTATGAAGTTTCAAGTCCATAGCTTTTATGATTTAGAAGAAATGGCCTGGGCAAAATTAAAGTATGAAAATTAACAAAGGGCAATCACTAAAATATATGGAGTGCACAAGGTAAGAATCTAGTGCACTGCACTTCTGGACATTAAAAGAAGCATACATACAAAGTTTGTTGTCAATATGGCTGAGTTATGCTCAGGACAAGCCTAAGGGTACTCCTAACTAACCCCTATATGTCGCCCTTTTTAAGGCGACACAAAAATAAACAACAAACCTGCCACAACGGTGACATTATCCTGGAACTGTCTGTTTAAGAAATAATATTCTAGTTCATCCTCAGAACTGAAGCCAGTGAAGAAGTTCATATCTACATCTTTCACCAGGTTTAGCCAAGCGCAGGCAATGTTGTCCAGAAATGAGAACACTTGACTCAATGTCGAAATTTCCTCCTTATCCATTCCAGCAATGTCTCCACTCTGAAATATTTTTCCCAGTACATGGGTGTCTTTAACATTGTATAAATTTCAAGTTATTACAGACTAATAAATTGTCTAATTTGGGGTTAAGAAAGGAGGAATATTCCTCTATGTTTTTACCAGTCTCTATTTAAGCCTAAAACCATGCTATATATGTACTTTTGATATATTTCAATATCCGTGAGGAACAAAAGACCTAAAAAGAGGTCAAATAAAATATTTAAATCACACAGGACTGGCACAATGCTAAAATAAATTCTGGAAAATGAAAGCAATTAAACCTACATAGACGTAAATTGCAGATTTTGATTGAAGTATCAGGCAACCTTTACACTAAGATGAAGTTTGGGGCAACATTTTACACTGAGATGAAGGATATGGCACATTTTATACTGAGATGAGGCAAGGGACACCATTTAACACTGAGATAAAGTATTGGGCAAAACTTTACACTGAAATGATGTATGGGGCACTGCTTTAGAGCAACCAGTCACAACCCTTTTTTGTATTTATTAACATGTTAAAAAAGGGGTAAAGCAACAAAACAAAACTTCATCATTTTGTAAAAATGTACATTTAGCACTAGTTACCTTTAAGATATAAATCTGTTTACTAATATTTCCAGACATCTTCTGCCACTGTTCAGCATAGTATGTTATATTACTGTACATTGCCATGCTTGAATTCACCTAAAATAATAGATTATAAGTTTCAGATCTTTACAATATTTACCTCCATTGACAAAAGTGGCAGCCAGTTTGGAGCCATTATTCAAAACAAAAAAGGAAAACATCCAAAGCATGCATCTGTAATTTTTGCCTGTTTGTTAACTTTATTTGCTTATTTATTTATTCATGAAAGTAACATGTTTTCATATGCTTATGTAATTCACCTTTTGTATAATTTTGTTGGCAAGTGTATTATTTGGAGCAAAGAGGATTTTGGGATTGTTGTACAAGATATGCGTCAATATTTCTATCTTCTTCTCAAAACTCTCCATATCTAAAATAACAGAAAGTAAAATATGCTTGTTATTTGGTCACAAATTTTAAATGTTGGTGTTATATTTATTGATATTATATAAGACAAAGTTATAATTATAACTTAAAGTTATATAAACATGGATGTTGTAATCTTTGGTTATTTAATCTATTTAACTAAGGCTGTTTGAGTTATTGTTGTTCCAGTTTCTACTTGTGGGCCCTCATGTACCTTGAAATATACTTGATATACCTCATCCTCGGTAACCCAGGCTCTTTACCTTATACTAGTATTAAATAAATATATTCGGAAAGTGTATCGTAGGTTCCGATGATGGATATACCGGACACATCAAAAGATGATTTATGGTACCCAAAATTAATTTTTGATACCCAGTTATACTAAAAGAATCTCAGATTTTTTCCCCTACATACTTATATATTACATAGTACTTTTTGAACTCTGTACTATCTAGTATACTATATATGTGGGGTCTACAATTAAAACCCACAACAACAATAACCCCTGGACAACAGTTACATAATCAATGACAATTGCATGCTTTAGTTATAGAAAGGCAAATAAAACAGTTATCTAACACCTAAGCCATTCATCTCCCTTTTTCCTACAGACATCACATTGTGAACTAACCGGGGTATAAAAGATACAAATCTTACCCTGATGTGGAGGGACTTCACTGTTATTTTGACGAGTGTTGTTGTTTATGTTGTCTGTGACGACAGCGTTATTTTTTCCGCATAATAGAGGTTCAATATTCTGCCATATTGAATTGAAATGTTTCATCTTCTTCTTTTTTGATGTTTCTGGCTATATATGAAATAAAGAAATGTAAACATTGGTTTACCCCTTACCTTACTGAATTTATATAATCGACTTGCCGAGCTTTAAATTTAGAACAGTCCGTTTATGAATTAAGGTCACATGTGACAAGTTCAGTAAAGAGAAAAATTGAGATGCAAACACTTTATGCCTGGTCAGAATGTACCAACTAATGCTTGATTCAATAAGGAAACATAATCAAAATAGAAATTATTAAAGATGTAACTAGAAATGTGTCTAGACACATAGAGGACACAGCGGTCCAAACAAGTCTTTGTTTTGTCAGTGAACAGACAGTCAGTGTGACAGCAGGTTAGGTGAAAGCGAGACAGAAGAACAAGAGCATATCTTTTACCTCCCTTTCAAGGGGAAAGACAGGTGAACAAGGGCATATCTATTACCTCCCTCCTCCTAGGGGAAAGACAGATGAATAAGGGCATATTTATTACCTCCCCTTCTCCTAGGGAACAAAGGCATATATATTGCCTCCCCTCCTTCTGGGGAAAAGACAGATGAACAAGGGCATATCTATAACCTCCCCTTTTCCTAAGGGGAAAGACAGATACACAAGGGCATATTTATGACCTCACCTCCTCCTAGGGGAAAGACAGATGAACAAGGGCATATTATTACCTCCCCTGCTCCTAGGGGATAGACAGATGAACAAGGGCATATTTATTACCTACCCTTCTCCTCAGGAGAAAGACAGATGGACAAGGGCATATGTATTACCTCCCCTTCTCCAAGGGGAAAGACAGATGAACAAAGGCATATATATTACCTCCCCTCCTCCTAGGGAAAAGACAGACACGTTGACATCCTCTGCTGCTATGTTTACATCAACTCAGAAAATTTTAATTAAAAAACTTAAGAAACGAACAAGTAAATGAACACTTCTCATAGGAAATAGGAAAGTTAAAATGGCGACGTTCGAAGAATTCGCGGCACAGTGAACATGTCACTCAGGTTCCATGACTATTTCGAGATGACACATATTACAATTTTAAACAAATATACCAAATAGAACAGTTTAGCAACATATCCTGAGCACTTGTGTACAAAAGGCATAAACGGAACCAGAGCGTTGCGCTACAAAAAGCGAAAATAAGGAAAACACGGATAGGAAGACCGATCTTCGTCACCTATTTCCTACAGCTAAAAACAGGTGTAACGAGACCGGAAGTTTGCGTATAGAAAAAATTAATGTATGCCATCAAAACAGTCAACAGACATTAACAACCACATGATTTAAGTCAGAAATTGACGATTTATGGGTATCATTATTGCGTTGAAAGCCATTAAGAGTATTTGAGAAAGGCGCCTTATATAGATTTAACGCCGTTTTTGACGTTGGACGTGAGCCGCGATTCAGTTAGTTGCCACGGTGTTTATGGCATATTTTTGTTGTTTGTTGATATTTTTCTTTGAAAATTTGTGAAAATGTTTAAATTATATGGGTTTATAACATATTAAAATATCAAATTCGTACCTGTTTTATCTAGCTTTTAAACAATCTTGTCACATAATATTGGGACAACCCACGTATATTACCTCCCTTCCTCCTAGGGGAAAGACAGATGAACAAAGGCATATATATTACCTCCCCTCCTCCTAGGGGATAGACAGATGAAAAAAGGCATATTTATTACCTCCCCTCCCTAGGGGAAAGACACATGAACAAAGGCATATCTATTACCTCCCTTCCTCCTAGGGGAAAACAGATGAACAAGGGCATATTTATTACCTCCCCTTCTCCTAAGGGGAAAAACAGATGAACAAGGGAATAACTATTACCTCCCTTTTTTCTAAGGGGAAAGACAAATACACAAGGGCATATTTGTTACTTCCCCTCCTCCTAGGGGAAAGACAGATGAACAAAGGCATATCTAATACCTCCCCTCCTCCTAGGGGAAAGACAGATGAACAAGGGCATATTATTTCCTCCCCTGCTCCTAGGGGAAAGACTAATGAACACGGCCATATTTATTACTTACCCTTCTATTAAGGGGAAAGACAGATGAACAGGGGCATATCTATTAACTCCCCTCCTCCTAGGGAAATGGCAGATGAACAAAGCATATCTATTACCTTCCCTCCTCCTAGGGGAAATACAGATGAACAATGGCATATTTATTACCTGTCTTTCTCCTGGGGAAAAGACAGATGAACAAGGACATATTTATTACCTCCGCTTCTCCTAAGGGAAAAAAGATTAACAAGGGCATATTTATTACCTCCTTTTCTCCTAGGGAAAAGACAGATGAACAAGGGTATATTTATTACCTCCCCTTCTCCTAAGGGGAAAGACAGATAAACAAAGGTATATCTATTACCTCCCCTACTCCTAGGGGAAAGACAGATGAACAAGTGCATATCTATTACCTCACCTCCTCGTAGGGGAAAGACAGATGAACAAGAGCATATCTATTAGCTCGCCTCCTACGATGAGAGACAGATGAACAAAGGCATATCTATTACCTCCCCTCCTCGTGAGAGGAGAGACAGATGAACAAAGGCATATCTATTACCTCCCCTCCTCCTGAGACGAGAGACAGATGAACAAAGGCATAACTATTACCCCCCCCCCCCCCTGGGAGAAGAGACAGATGAACAAAGGCATATCTATTACCTCTCCTCATAAAAAGGGGCATAAAAATTGGAGATCCTTAAAAGCGAAACGAAAACAGAATTAATGAAAGGAAATTGATGACACTGATTAAATTGTGTCTGTTAGATAAGGACAGTATATATTAAACCATCTTTTGTTACCTTTACTTTGATTCAATCCATCTAAAAAACCAACAATAAAAAAACTCTTCGACAATGATAGCTAAATGATGGCAACGATACAGGTACAACTGTAACACTTACAGTTCAATCTGCTTGTCTGAGGATTTTATATCATCTGATGCTTCAGAAACTTTTCTTTATTTTACTTTAGATTTGGTTAAAGATTATATGATAAATACACTTTGATTAAAGTTCTGGAAGAAAAAGAAGGGTTAAACAGTATCAAAACTAAAACCAGAATAATTCTATACATGTGTTAAATAAAGATATATATGTAAATAACCATTAATTACCAGAGATTGTGAGGAAGTTGTATCATCTGTGCTACACAACTTGTCAACATCAGAACTTGGCAAATCATGTATGCTTGAAACATAACTTGTTATACTGTCAATTAACAAGTTAAAGGGAAATTCTGAAAAATCATGAGTAAAATATATCATTTATAGAATGTGAAAATAATATTTAAAATCTTACAGGAACTTCACTAAAGTCCAAGAGCTTAAAACATTAAATCTAAGTTTTCTTACATAGGTCAGCACGGGCACTTAAAACAAAAAGATTGAGAAATATACTTGAGAAACAAATTAATTTTTTTTTGTGCTATTCTTAGTCCAATTGCATCATTTTTCAATTTGGGTCATTTTTCACAATTGGACTAATTATTCCGGATAAATGGAATGAGTGCATGATCTGAAATTGTGCATACAAAATATTGGGCTTAACCTGAATCAAATAGATCATTAACCTCAAAAAATTATTTACAGTTCTGCAATGTCAAAAAACCTCATTGGAGTCCTTTTTATGTCTTGCAAATTAAAGAATGAAAGAAAAAATGTTTGAGTTATTCTTATATGTTTAGACATTTAACTCTCCCACCCCATTTTTTGTTGTTTATTTTTAAAATAGATGTTTAAAATCTGATTACCTTTTGATAAAAGAAGAATCTGTGAAACATTAAGGACACCACTGTCAGGAACAAGTTTCCCCAATAACTGATCTATAAAGTCAGTTGGTAAACTTTGCAAAGTATCACCATTCTTTTGTAACACTTCATGAAATTTCTCAAAATACGTATACAATCTGAAACATATACAATATAATTATAATATTATATTTGCTTTCCCTGCTGAATTTGTGTAAAAGATATGCCCTATTTTTAACAAGGGATTGTTTAACCAAACCTCCCCAAAAAGTGCAGAAGTTCAATTAACCCTCCACCAAAGGGAATAGTGGAGAATTCTACGTGACTAAAGTTTCGATTAAATCATTTCACAGTAAGGAACAAAAACTATATGTTGGAACTCTGCCAACTCTCAATCCCAACCTAAAATGGAAACTGTAGGAAGTTGAAAATGAAATCAGTTAATCTTTGATTTATTGGGTGGACTTGCTGTGTTATACCATAATTTTGTCGCTACGTCTTATCTGATATATAATTATATCATACTGTTTAATATATTTAACAATACAAAACAACTGCTGGAAGGGAACTACACCACTTAAAACAAGGTAACTTTTCTCCCCCCTTAAAGCAGCAGGTCTCCAGATAAATGCTAATTTTCATGACATTTTGAAAATGTACTAAGTGAAGTGAACAGAGAAAACAATTTTCACATACAACCTATGTTATTAACAAAAAAAGAGGTCAAAATAACCCTTACGGCGTTAATAACATGGTAGAAGTATGGTGAAAAATAATGCAAATCAGTCATAAATCACACATAACATGGAAATTATTACTTTTATCTTGAATATTTTTACTTTTCTCAAAGTCTCAGTACTTGGCCTGCAGTTTGATTTTCATAATACCCTACAACGCTCTATACCCATAACAAGAAAGTCAAATTTTCTAAAAAGCTTCAAGAATGTTTAGGAATTTAAACATTGTAATTGATTTGAAAATTTCCCTGCAAGTTTATCTTAATGTAAACATATATTTACAATGTGACTTGATTAAGGGGGGATAATTTTGATAATATGAATAAAGTTTAAAATTTAATTAGAATCTATTTAAATTGAAAGGTACAGAAAACAAAATGAAACTAAATTAACCAAATTTCCCTTATACTTCCCTATCACGCAGAGACTCAGTTCAATCGTCTTCAAGATAAAGACAGCAGGTAAAAATCACATTATAATACAAAATGTGCTATCAGTCTACTTACAAATGGAGGCTGATTATATATAAAAGGGGAAGTAACTCATTCATATTTGGAAAAACTATCCGTTTAGGAAGTATGAGTAAAATCTTGCTATATTAGTAAAATTTCAACCTGGTGTTGTTTTTCTCGAATACATTCGCGTCATCGCCACAGAATGCCTGTAGAACAGGTATAATCCCCGCAGAGGGAAGTGGTTTCGGTGAGTAATGTTCTGAAACGAAATAAGAAAATACCGTAAAATAGTTCTTCAAATAGGTTATACACTTTTTTCTACGATATCTTATCCTGATGATAAAAATCAGTTAAAGGTCAAGGTCATAATTTGAATTATTTTACATGTCTGTTGTCTCACTGATGTTTATTTTTGTACAAAAATCACGATTTTAAAAGCAAATTTCAATAGTTTAACCTTAATTGCCGATGGCCTTTCTGAGTCAAGCTTAGTCAAACGTGGACATTTCAACATGTCGGTTTTTTCTTGAGTGTCGTTTTGTATACATTAAGTCAGATCCAGAAATAAAACAACTTTTATTGCAAATTAAGCTCAATTTAATTTGACATTGTATGACGACCAAAAGCAAGGTCAAGGTCAAATTTACACCCAAAAAAACAACGACAAGATTTCATAAGTGTTGTTTTGTACAAGAATGAATCGGATCCATAAACAGACATTAAATGAGTAAGATAACATAATTTGACATTGAATATCCTAATTTGACATTGAATGTCCATGTCAAAGTTTAGGGTCAAATTCAATCTAACATTCTTAAATGCCTTGTCCAAAGTGTGTATGTGTCCAAAAAGATGAAAGATTTCCATTGATGATTAGTGTTAAAGTATATGGACGAGAACGGCACCACTGTAACTGTAGCAAAAGCTTGATTTGTTTTTGTACGTTTGCTGGTTTAAATTTTGTGTTCTGGTTGTTGGTTTTGTTTGTTTGCTCTTTTCTTTTGTTGAAAAGTTGTGCTGGAGCAATCACACACAAGTAGAGTTTTTATTTTGTTTAACTGTAGCAAAATGGTAAATAGGACTCCATGAGTAAAATTTCTAAATTTTGTTCGGAAAACGAGCTTTATTTATCCAAGTGTTATCTTATCTTACCTTCGTTGATTGGGTAAGCTACCTGTGTGCGGCGGATACACAGAATTACAATAAACAGTGTTAGGGGTATGAAAACTTCGAGAAGAAATATTATCTGAAATAGAAGAACATTAAAAGAATTATAAGTATATTTTAGGAATTTTAAATTATTTTCATAAAATTTTGGCTCGTAGCTCACTTCATTAAAAATGTGTCGTGAGTATTTGCCCATATACTTTCTCAAACAGAACAGTAAAGTAATAAATATTTTATGAACATTGCCTTTAACTACCCAAGAGATACAGGTTTGTTTTGCATGAAGATCTTATCAATCAAAAATAATCGATTTGCAATACACAGATGCAGTTCCTTGTCACTTTTTGTACGATGTCTTTTCAGGGTCTACATTGTTCCAATCACTACGTATTTTTCGAAATTTCCATAAAAATGACGGATTGAAATATTGACAAGTCCATTTAGGATATCAGCGCGACAATGAGTATACATAATTATGAGACCCACTACAGCGATTATATTCATGAATAATAAATGATGCTTTAAGACAGTTCGTTGGGCATTAATATATTGTATATATCCTACCTTATATATCGGTACCTTACTTGGGAGCCTATATTGTATACACACCGGTCTCTCAAATATCGAATCAAATATCAGTAAGACCGGTGTACACAATGTGGGAGCCTATATATTTTAACTTGCATCTTTCTTGCGATAACAGAAGGTGAATTGTTTATATACTGTGAACAATGCTGGTCATCATTATTTTAAAAGATATTTAAACAAATTCCACCTGTCCCCGCACTACCGGGCTAATAAGGCGGTTTAATTTTGAAGCTGAATACATGTATATCTAACTAGCGTTATATAGGGACATTTGAAGCGGATCTGTATTCATTGAAAACGTTTACGCCTATTACACACTTTTAACATAAAAAACTAACATCAACTAAGGTCATTAATTAGAAGCATGGTAGTTAATCACATAATAAGCTACATGTACTGCAGGTAATTCTCTACCTTACCTGTGATTTACAAACTAAGACAACATTATTCAACCCACGCCTGCGGAAGGTATAGTGGTTCAAAATCCACTCACAAGCAGTCATTTTTTAACAAATAAGAATTGCCTTGCCTTATTCTTTTAGAAACTATATGATAGTTTTTATTGTTTATAAGGATTAGTGATATTAGTTTAGCTACACTTACCGGATGTCTTCTTTTGGTTATACAATTTTTCCATAGCAGAAGACGAAGTTGTAAAAAGAACGTCGGCTTGTTTCTGTCAACCTGGAGAATTGTATTAAAGCTATTAAAATGTTGTATGTATTTTACTTCACACACGGCCTTTTCAACAACAACAACAGCAACAACAAACACTAAAAACCTAATGGGTAATGACAAAGTAAAGCAAATTGTAAACAAAGTAATATTTTGACTTCCATATAATATCATGCAATAATGTCAAGTGATTTTATACTCAGTGCTACTTTTTTCTGAAGATAAATATCTATCATGCTCTAAAATAATTGTTTTATCAGTTTAATCATTTTGAAACTCATGGTTGCCCTTTCTAAAGATGGAAATATATATTCGTTTTCGGGCCATAATGTACCTTTAAGTTTCGTGACATTTTCGTTGTCATAATCTATGTCGGTTAGAACTCGCAGAAATTTTCTGCAAACTTATAATTGAAATAGATCTACTGCTTTCCTGGTGGATTTTTTTGTCAATAAAATTTTGTAAAGTACATATATAATTATGTAAAAAGAATTATTTTAAAAAGTAAAACATGACGATAAGAAATATTGCTTACTTTTTCCATCATAGCCCTGTTAAAAGATATTTATGTTGTTCTTTTCTGTTTTATTCTGTTCTCTTCTGTTCAACCAATCCGCAGGTCTCCATTTACAACTTTTTGTTCAACTTTTCTGCTTAAGTAAAACGCGAAAAAAACAGAAACTAAAATATTTCATTGTTGCTAGAAGAAATAAGTATGTAATATGTAAAGGATGTCAACAGCAGACGATAAAAAACAAAGGTCATAAAATACATGTATATTAACCATATGTAACGAATTTGTCTCACTTAAAATTGGAAATTGTGTAACGTTAGTTTCCGAATTGCTCTGAAAACAAATGAAAAAAATGACTAAATGATCATTCATTCAAGCAAGCGACCAACCTATCAATCAATCGATCAATCAATCAATCAACCAACCATTCAACCAATCAATCAATTAATAAACTTTTAATCAACAATTAATAAATTATCAATTGCAATATCAACCAATCAAACAGATAAAGCAGCCGAAAGAGTCAATCAATCAATTAATCAATCAAATATTACCTCAGTTGAAATCTCATTCAATCAATTTATCACACAATTATTCAATCAATCAGTCAGTCAATCAGTCAGTCAATCATTCAATCAATCAATCAGTCAAGTACTAGCTTAATCACAGCAGCCTCATAATAACGACCTGTTCGGATCTTTTGGCTTTGTTCCATATTTATGGCAAATGTTAGTACAATAAAGCTTATCCTTTTGTTTTATATAATCTGCCGTGAGCTTGCTGGGAGGCATCCTCACATGAAAGTATCCAAAAGTTACTAGCGGGATTCGAACACAGAGGACCGAGGCGTGCAAGGACGCTGACTGTTGAGGTACTGTACCATTGTGCTTGACATATTGAAGCTTATATAAACATGAAGCTACTCTTAAACTAATTGTAAATATTGAACTTAACTATTGAGCTAACTGAACTTACTACTGTACTAATTTAAACTATTGTGCAGACATACTTACTATTGAGCTGTTTGTTCCCATGTGATATTATCAACATGTATACAATGATCGCACGAGTGCAATTCTATTTTTTTTCCCATAAAAATGAAATTATATAAGAATTCTTTCGTTTAAGTTTGAAATATAAATACATTATACATAAATAACTTGATATATAACACTATTTTAATGTATTATATTTCAACTAGGTTTTAAATTTACCAACCAAATGATATCAGATTTAATGTATATTTTAGTTATCAATGTATCATACATATAAATGACCTACCTTTCTGAAGTTACCTTATTAATCCATTTGATAGTCTACTATTTATATATTTATATAGCAGACGACAGCCGTTATATACATGTATTATATACCCAAAGTCGATGTTAAGTGTAACACGCGGTGCATTTTTATAAAAAAAGCGATCAAAAATCAGCGTGATGTTATACCATTAAAATTCCAACTATAATATATGCATTAATATTATTGAAATTCACTGAAAAGATTTTACGCGATCAGACTTGACCGTGTATTAACGGATATTGAATCAATATTGCTTTGTTTACATCCGCTTAAAATCTACCCGGCTTGAACATGACTATCTAAAAATAGCAATTGTGTTTAAATATAATAGTACGCTCAAAGCGGTTTACTTTTAAACAGAATTATTTATTTGTATAGACCATGTAGAATACCGGAAAGAGTTACTTAAAACATATATTGACAGCACCGTTGTTTAAGATGCGCTTGATTGAAATTCACGTTATTCTATTGATTTTACAATATCGCAGCTATACCTGGGCAGGCCCGCCGTCTATTGGGTATTGACTTAGAGGCAATGCATGGCAGAAAAAAGAAAATCTAATGTTTTATTAACAAGTGTAAAAAAAGATGACAATTTCTTCATGCGCTTGATAGATTAATAATGATAATATATTTACCGAATTATGATGAACGTTCAAACATTTGGCCTAGTAAATTCTTACATAATGTTTGGAGAATATTTTAAGTTTAATCAATGCTGAAAAAGAAAAAATTATGACAAACCTAGACATTGATTATATTCTATTTTTAATTCAACAGCTGATACATGTAGTTTGCTTTGTTACGATTACGTCTATTGTACTCCATGCAATTAATTAAGTTATATTTTTTTCATTTTTTATTTATTTTTTTATAAACATTATCTACATTATAGGTCTACTTATTTTAACCATACAATTGCAAAACTACCAGCTTATTTCACGCCACTTCCGGGTGACATGGTATGAAATGACTATGGTGAAAAGCAGACACTAGGTCTGAATAAAAAAAACTATAAAAACAATATAAAATGCCATATGCACAAAGAATAACACAATTGATTAACGAATATGAAATCGATGATTTAACTATCGCCGACCGTGTTATGAAACAGTAATTGAAATATCGCCATGTTAACATCGATTTAACATTAACAAGTAAAAGTCATAAAATTACAGAAAGTCTAGTCACAGCTAACTTACATATAAGTAAAAATGGTGAAGTTCGCATTGCTATATTCAAATTCATAAAAGATACACAATTTACAAATAAATTTAATTTACTATGGATATAATTAAATAAAGTACATTGTATCGCATTAAAGATCGCCGCTTTATAAAATGGGATTGAAATGCCGAGGAATTGTCTATGAGTGTGGAACTAGGCAAGGCAAGCTTTAGTATGCAACTGCCCCACAGGTATACACATATCTTTGGACAGGCTCGCTAAGTTGGCACAATAATGATTTAGCTATTGCTGCCCAGAACATATTAATTTGTGTTCTGGGGGTAGGGGCTGCTCCATACTGGTATGTAACAAAAATTTTATTTGTAAATACAGACAGTGGTCCGATATGTAGATATGATGTTAATTATATCTACAATTACAAATTTAATCTAATTTATTATTTGATCTAAAAATAGCTGCAATCTCATTGGTCCAAACTGTAGTCAACAGAACTTTTTATAAAATCATATTCACTGGGTGTAGTATCATATTAACTGGCTGAATTGGATTTTCCAAGTCTAAAAATAGATTGAGACTCATATTCAATGACCATACACCGTAGACTGTTAATTACTTGTGTTAATTAAAAAATAATTGTTGCGTTTTGTTCTTTATAGCATATTTCTCGATTGAAATATCATTACTTTACTGTTATACTTAAAGGCTAAACCGCATCGATGAGTATAAACTTGAATTACTTTTGTATGCGCAGCGTTCGCGTAGTCGTTGCACGCCTCGCACGTGCGTCTTTTTTCCCGCGCTTCAACGAGGCAAAATTTGTACATGTATATAAAGTTGTACTTTTTCGTGATTTCTTTTTTAATTCTTAGCCTATACATATAATAAAACAATTATTGACTAGTGAGCCATTGAATATGATGTGATATTCACTGGCAGAAAGTCATATTGACCTCGGCTATCGCCTCGGTCAATATGTCATCTACCGGTGAATATCACATCATATTCAATGGCTCACTAGTCAATAATTGTATAATGTAAAACATCAAAATTTACAAAAATACAATAGTTAAATCTCCTTGTCGAGAGGTCCAAGGGAACTTTGGCTGGTAGTATTTAACAACAGTCAAGACAAAAATAATAAATATAATGAATGATAAATAAACTATGTAAAGAAAGTAGTCACCTCACTAGTGGTATAACGATTCACCGACTGAGAACTAAAATAATACTATCAATACAATGAAAATAAACTACATGTATATTAAATACTTTGTCGGTAGGCACCCTACAAGGGATGCGTTGCGTGGCGCACTGAATACTTACATCAAACCAAACAAGAATACTAAAAATATAAGAACAAGTATGAATTACGAGGACATATAATGTCCATCAGGCTGAAGAACAGCCCATACTCATGATAAAAATAAGAAAACATGCGTCCTCATCTCAACCAGAGATAAAAGAGACTGATTTGTTTGTTTATACAGGCTTCATAGTTACTTCTATAATTCACTTTGATACAAGTGCATGCCTGTATATAATAAGTTATACTATAGTAGCTAGATTTGTTGTTATTGTTATCAAAGTACTTCGTAGTGAAATAGGTGGTTGGTACTTTGTATAATTCATAATAAACCATTACAGGTTACAAATCCATAGAAATATCCCGCTCTGTTCTTATAGCACACATAATAAAACAGCAAATAAAGAACAACATTTAGTAATGAGAACATTATTTTAATTAGCATATGTATAGTACATTATTTATACAATTGATATTACGCCAGAGAAGAGATTGCTCCGCCCAATGCGGTCATTCAGAACCTTAGACAAAAAACGGTACCGACGTTTACATGAAACTATTATGCCACTAAAGTTACTAATGAATTTCCCTTATATAATTTGGTATATAAAATTTTACTGCTTTTCTTGAATAGTTCAATGTATAATGGTATTAAAAAAAGTAACAAATAGCTTAATTCATGCATTAATTATGAAGTAAACATTTGGCAAAGATCTTGTTATATTTCTCGTTGAATTCAAGGAAGATGTTACTGACAAAATATCATTTTAGTTTACAAATTCAGAGAAAGTTGAAATTTAAGTAGCGGAACATATGAATAGTAAAATTATATCAATAACACAGTGACATTTACAAATGTTTTAGGGTTTTATGTGCGAAATCATTTATATATAATGCATTTGTGCATAAATTGTTAAAATTGAATGAGAAAATTGCCCTTGCGTAACTATGTAATATGATATATGATTTTATGTATATTTGTACATAAGATATGTTTCGTGATAAAACGCAATATCATTAACTTCAAAATAAGTTTCGCATACACCAGTCGGTGAGACCTCGGTTTTAAATTAAAATCGTGATCAGGTATGATGTTATTGAAGCAGATGTATCGAAATATTTATTCTAACTTCATTGAGCTTAAATAGAAACATTTAGGTAGGATAATTTCACATAAAATATTCATAGCATATTCTCTCATTTTATTTTTCTACTGCAGCATTTTATTGACACTATGTTAAGAACGAACAAAATATGTCATATCAGACCTTATAATTATATTATATGATTATGAATGGGCATAATTGTAATAAAGGAAGGAATATAGTGTTTGCTATTAAATAAAAAATACAGTCATTTCACATCGCAACCCCATTTGAGACGTATTCCTTAGAATATTGACGGGGCCACCAACTCAACAATTACACTCATATGAGCATCTGCAAAAATGATATAGAATGGAGTCAAAAGCTACCCTCAATAGAAGGAAAATAAAACGAATTTGAGATGGTCTGTATCACTTGTTGTATCTTACATATGTAATTTTTATGTATTTAAAATTTCAACAGTATGGGAAAATTTTCATTATTAGTATTATACAAAATTGAAAAAAACCGATGTTTGGCTAAAATTTCATTCCCAATTCGCCTGTAAAGAATGCTCGTGCATGTCAGTCGTGCATAGGGAAAATGTGTGTCAGGTATCATTGCGAGTTTCATAATCAGGTATCATTGCGAGTTGCATAATCTTATTGGTCAGTCAAGCTCAACATTTATTTTTCTCCATGATGCATATAATGGTCTCATTGGCCTCCCGTGCATCTAAATGGTATAATCACACAAATCGACTTGCATAAATATTTAGTGTCATTCAGTAAATTACAGAATTTAAAAGTACTCTCAGTGCCTGAAAGGGCGGATGAACCCTCATTATGCCTAGAATACATACAAACATGCACGCACGCACCCACGCACGCACGCGCACACACATACATAAATGTTTGACCCTTTTTACGATATTGTTAGAACAAAGTAGGAAAATAGCTACATATACACGAGCCAATGACCAGGGGAAGTAACAAGTTATCAACGCAATGCAAGTTTAACACCGGCTACGGTGCATAAACAATCTCCTTAAAATCAGATCATCGTTTTCGCTCCGTTACTCTTCGCTCCAAACGAAAGGTAGTGGAGCGATAGTTAAAATACGATTTTTATGACATTGATAAAATAATATGAAAAAATCAATTAACTTCGTCGTTGGCTTCAAATTACAAAAAAACATTATTGTTTACTACATGAAATAGTCGCTCATAGAACGTCTGTGATACAGGTCTTAGATTAAACTGATCTCGACCATGCTAAAGTACACGTATACACATCAAATCATACATGTACAATGTAATTATATAGTACCATTATCATTTCCTTATCATTAATTTTAATATGACCACCTTGACCTCTGGGACCTTTTCGATTTTTATATGCCTTAAAGATACAGTGTTTCTAAACCGTTGGTTAATTTCAAAAGGGAGACAGATCGGATTGTCAGTTTTATCATGACATGTAAGTTCACCATGCAGTTGCCTTAAATTGCGTTTTCATTTCAATTTGAAATAAATATATGTATTTTCTATTTTCTCGTAAGCTTGCTGATTTCCTCAGTTATAAACCTTAAGGTGGCCCACTAAAGTTAGACATCGTATTTAAAACGTATTTCACTCGATTTTAATACTTTTTCATGGATAATTTCTATTAGTTGATGAATAATCTGGAAATATGATACAGGGTACGCGGAATTCTAAGCTAATTATCACATGGTGTTATCATGCTTCAAGATTTTGATTTTTACTTGAAACGAAATTTAGTGAGCCGCGATAGTATCAAAAGTTGTAGTGACTCTAACGTAAGCACTATGCTGAAAGATCAAAGCGCTGAAAGCACTAAATTACATGCAGGATTACTCAGGTTGACTTGGGTGTTCATGTTGTATGCAAATGAAGAATTGAATGAAATATATGAATATTATTTATAAAGTCAGGTTGGACAGACCATGTAACATTTTAGACACTCAGCACAGATCAGTTATTTTGCTTGGTGAATATTCAAGAGATACTCGTATAGATGAGGGTATCCGGAATTCAATGATTTATAAGATGGTGTAATCGTGTTTTAAGAACTTTTGTCCGTAAAATGATAATTTATTGACCTTGTTACACTTTTGTTTGTTTTTCTATTCGATTTACAGATATTGAGATTTGCATTATTCTCTTTATCACCGTTGGACCAGGTATGAATATTAAATTATATTCTATTTTATGAGATACTAAAATATATCAGTCAGATATCAGTCGTGTCACACTGTTTGGAATCGAGTTAAATATTTCTTATTTTGTAAGCCTACTAGTTTAGGGTTCTGAACAATAAAATATATAGATGCTTTTCTTGTGCTTATTACCCACCCGAAAGCCAATTGGATGTCATTCCGGCCCAATATATCATCATATGCTTAAGATAAGATAAAAAAATTATCTCATAATTATATAATTGGCTGTTTATAACGATTTCTTTCATATTTTGTCTATTATATGTATATTATATAAAATATTGAACCTCTAAATGGCTGCCACTTTTAGGTAATTATGTAAAAATCAGGAACTTTCTGTAGACCACACTACGTGTGTGGATTTTCATGACGTCTCGGTTACATCATATTGATGAAAGTGATACTACGCCTTTCTTGACGCCCTTTAAAAAAGTGAAAATGGGACCGACCCTTCGGACAGGCGACTATCAGCCAGTGTTCGGATTTTTCCGGAGCGGTGTTATCTTCTGCATACACGTATTGTTTTTCTTAGTAATTATTGAAATGTTCACACTCATAAGTGTCGTTAACATTTGTGATGGGCGTATTTTGTGACATGTTGGCACTCTATTTTCCATTATGCCGATAATTTTCCATATTTTTTATACAATGATGTATCTTTTCAGAGGTAGTGCGTGCATTGGAATGTTTATCGTGCAATGGCGTGAATCATACGGCGAACTGTCACGTGACTACAACGTGTTCACAATATGAAGTATTTATTTTAATTTAAAGAGTCATTCTGCGTTTAAATGAATACAATTTAATGTAAGAAACATAAACCCAGATCATCTAAAATACAACAACTTCCGAAATTCAATTGATTTTCTGAATTTCAAGAAAATTTGTCTTCCTTTTTTATTTCCTCATACATCATAATACTGAACTTACGATTTTTGTTTACTATTAAAGTTTGTATCCGCGAAAATGCCGACGTTGTGATAAAAGCGAAATACTGTATCCGCGAACATTTCTAGGAATACAGTAAGTTCTGAAATCTTAAAATATTTGTCCGTATATTTTTGGTTTATAGAAAATTGTCTTTTTTATTGTACTTAACGTATCGGTTCAATATAGAGAACAGTAGATCTAGGTATATACATCAGCTCGCAAGTTCAGGTCATTATACCAATCAAATTCGTTTGCAGATTTGGCGGCAAAACACAGAGTCGTACAACATTTTGATATTATAACTGGTTTGTTCACGCAATCGTTTCCTGAAATCGTTAAGATTTTATAATAAACTTTGAATTTTAACGAGATAATTCATAAATACTTTACTCGAATGTACTTATTTCTAGTAACATCTTTTTTATAATTTACTTTTAAAATTCGTTCGATTATTTGCGTATCTGGTGGTTATGTTTTTCACTAGCATAGTTGAAACCACCATTTGACGGAAATGATGCACACACACACACACACACACAAAAAAAAAAAAAAAAAAAAAAAGAACAGAAAAAAAAAAAAAAAACTGAGGGAGATGAACACTAAAACGGTGGTAAATGGAAGTAACTTTTATTTGCTATTTATATTTTTTTAGCATTGTTATACAAAAGCAGACGACTTTGGAAGCAGTGTTGTATACAGTCTAGGATGTCGTCCCTCAGCGGTATGTTTTAAACACATACATCTACATAGAACATAAATCAGATACATATAAATGTTACTTGAATGAACATAAGTAATGGGGGCGAAATTGTAATGTAAAATAAGATTTGCAAAGAAGTATCAGAAGTGAAAAAATAATATTTGTTGAGATTTTAATCCATCCGTCCGTCCATCTGTCTGTCTGTCTGTCCACAGGGAGACGTTGTGGAAAAAGTCTTTGTTTTCAAATTTAACATTATGAGATTTATTACATACCAAATGTAAGTCATTAAAGGTAATGTGGGTTTAAATAGGTTGACTGTAAGGATAAAAAGATCAAAAGAAGATCAAAGGAATAACCAAATATCTCTTTAGAATTTCCATCTATCCAGCCATCCATCCATCCATCCATACATCCATCCATCCATCCATACATATCTTTGTAACAATTTGATTATTTTTTAATTTCACCTTTTCGCCCCGCCACAATCATAGCATTTAATAAGTTATGTGTTTCAAAAGGTATATATTTTCTGCAATTCCATATATAGCAATGCTATGGGCATACATCTTCAGGAGGAAGTCTCGTTGGGCGAGATCTTAAGAGAAGAGTTTTCATTGCAAATCCAACGGGATGTAATCAGTGCTGTTCTATCGATTACTGCAATAGAGACGTATGCAGTCACTCTGGAGGAAGTAAATATTATATCTTTCCTTACGATTATTTTATACCAAATTAGTTTGAAATACAATTTTAACTAACATTTTATTTTCATATACATGCGGACATCTTTTTCTGAATTGTTACGTTCAATCACTTTTTCATTCCTCTTCACATTAACAAATAATTTAATTCATTAAAAACGGTACGATTTGAAGCAATTTTTTCGTCTGCTTTATTATCCACATCCCCTTTTAACCAGAGTCCCTTCTACATGTTGTACAAAAAAAAATGTAACCAAAAAGGCCCTTTTCCGTCTGTCTTATGAAAAATACCCGAGATGCTCCGATTGCAAAAATGCATGTTGGTAACTGAGATTGTATTAAATGACATCAGATTTCAAAACAATCGGAACACCTTGTCCCTTATTCATTACCATAGTCCTTATCAGCAGACTGACGGAACAATCGCACCTTTTCGGCCCTTTCGAATTGGACCTCGAACTAACATACGCTAAGAAACTAACATGTAAAAAATAGTCATTTAGTGCTGGCAGTTGTTGACAAGCTTTTTTTTCAAATATATCAAGTAAAATTTTACCTAAAATATCTACATTTGTAGATATAAAAGTAAACAATACGATATCTATATACTAATAAGTTCTATGAGTGTTGAAACCGAATTTAAGTCGGATATTCATCAGAGTTAACGGCAAAGTCATCAATAGTTTTACATATGCTTAAAATCTAATTGATAATATAATTATTACATCGATATCTTTATATTTAACAGTTGTAACAGTGCTGCAAATGTATATTTTACCCCTGTAACTATATTTTTTAAAGCAATAAGCATTACTGCATATTTGTATGTATTTTACCGCTGTAACTATATTATTTAAAGCAATAAGCATTACTGCATATTTGTATGTATTTTACCGCTGTAACTATATTATTTAAAGCAATAAGCATTACTGCATATTTGTATGTATTTTACCGCTGTAACTATATTATTTAAAGCAATAAGCATAACTGCATATTAGTATGTATTTTACAGCTGTAACTATATTATTTAAAGCAATAAGCATAACTGCATATTTGTATGTATTTTACCGCTGTAACTATATTATTTAAAGCAATAAGCATTACTGCATATTTGTATGTATTTTACCGTTGTAACTATATTATTTAAAGCAATAAGCATTACTGCATATTTGTATGTATTTTACCGTTGTAACTATATTATTTAAAGCAATAAGCATTACTGCATATTTGTATGTATTTTACCGCTGTAACTATATTATTTAAAGCAATAAGCATTACTGCATATTTGTATGTATTTTACAGCTGTAACTATATTATTTAAAGCAATAAGCATTACTGCATATTTGTATGTATTTTACAGCTGTAACTATATTATTTAAAGCAATAAGCATAACTGCATATTTGTATGTATTTTACAGCTGTAACTATATTATCTAAAGAAATAAGCATAACTGCATATTTGTATGTATTTTACAGCTGTAACTATATTATTTAAAGCAATAAGCATTACTGCATATTTGTATGTATTTTACAGCTGTAACTATATTATCTAAAGCAATAAGCATTACTGCATATTTGTATGTATTTTACAGCTGTAACTATATTATCTAAAGCAATAAGCATTACTGCATATTTGTATGTATTTTACAGCTGTAACTATATTATCTAAAGCAATAAGCATTACTGCATATTTGTATGTATTTTACCGCTGTAACTATATTATTTAAAGCAATAAGCATAACTGCATATTTGTATGTATTTTACAGCTGTAACTATATTATTTAAAGCAATAAGCATTACTGCATATTTGTATGTATTTTACCGCTGTAACTATATTATTTAAAGCAATAAGCATTACTGCATATTTGTATGTATTTTACAGCTGTAACTATATTATTTAAAGCAATAAGCATAACTGCATATTTGTATGTATTTTACAGCTGTAACTATATTATTTAAAGCAATAAGCATTACTGCATATTTGTATGTATTTTACAGCTGTAACTACCAGCATATATATTTTACAACAGTAACCAGTTTCTCTTAATTTTACAGCTGTAACCATATATTTTAGAGCTGTTACTCTATTATTTACAGCTGAAACTATATATTTTACCGCTGTAACTTACTCATTTAAAGCAACAAGCATGAATTTGTATATATTTTACAGATGTTATAATTTTACAGCTATAACTCCATATTCTAAAGCTACAACTACCAGTATTAATAATATTTACACAGTAACTACATATTTACACAGTAACTATATATTTACATCAGTAACTATATATTTACACAGTAACTATATATTTACATCAGTAACTATATATTGTTCAGCTAAAACTATATATTTGATATGTTAGACCTATAACTTTATTTTACAACTGTTATTCTATATTTTACAGCAATATGCATAACTGCATGTGTATATTATACAGCAGTAACTTTATAACTTACAACTATAACTCGACTTTTTTACAGCTACTAACAGAATATTTTTCCGTCGAGTGAAACATGGAATATCTTTTAAGGAAACATTTTAAAATTCCCTTTAGTTTACGAGTCGGAACGGCGAGTGAAATATATTGAATTTTATAATGTTAAATGAAAATATAAACCATACCCCCAAACAAAAATAAATAGAAAAAACAACAACAACAAACAAACAAGCGATGAATTTAATATTTTTATTTCATTTTCCACTATAGAATTTTAATTTTATATATTTAAAGTGCAGTAACTATATATTTGACAGCTATAACTCTATATTTGAAATTAAAATACTATATGTTTGGAAGCTATAACTCTATATGGTTCAGCTATTACTATATATTTTACAGCTATCACAACTTCCGGTTCATGCGTAGACAGTCCTGACTACAATTGTCCGTTGATCAGCAGTACATTCAACATATGCGGATATGTTCACCACGCGAAAATCGTCTGCCGAAAATTTTGTGGACTTTGCGATCTCGGTACGTAAAGTGCCCCCCCCCCCTTCTCAATTCCAACATAAGACTATTTAAAAGATTGTTTTTTATTTAATAAAATCGTAGGAGAGATGTTTAACAAAACAATCGGTGATTTTGAATTGGAGTGGATATTGTTATTCTATTATCGTCCACAAAGTCTTCTTTCTGAATTAGATACACGCTATTTAAGTAAGTGCAATGAAAATGTCGATCCAAATGTGTTACAGTATGCTTCCACAAATAAAAGAAATAAGTCTTAAATTATTTTAATAATGCGCTCATTGCTTTGCAAAATCAATGGGAAGCATTGTTTATTCGCGCATGCGCAATATTAAGTAAAGAAACCAGTGTCCTTCACAGAAATATATGTAGATATGTAGACGTTCATAGACATGTCTCAGTTATTTCACTTAAGAATAATATATTGCTAATAGTATAATTTTTAAGACATAAAGGTGATGATTTTATAATGAGCCAGAAAATATTCACATTTTCATACTTAATTCTTATTGCCATTTCTACTCATCATTCATATAAAAGAAAACTAAAAGCATATCAAGAGACCGCACTTGGAAGCAGTTCGTCATCGTTGTTAAATATCTTTTTATAAAGGTCCAAAACATTTATTTGTACAGTATTTATTTTTGTTCCAGAAAAATATATAGATATAATTGTTTCTGTTAATGATACTTTAAACAGAAAGCCTATTTACTGCTCGCATGTTTGCTGTGTTTTTTTTTCTTCAAAACATTTAGTTAGCGGTTTTTAAGGATTCGATCATGATGTTGATATTTTCCATTGGTTGGTCAAATATCACTTTTTGCCCTACGTAATACCAGCATGCGCGAAATATTGCCTCCGTTGCTATGGAAATATCGTAATGTAAGAAAATGTATATAGAATAACCCTTTTACTCATTGCAGTGGATGGCGTTTGGGGAGCTTGGGGTGATTGGTCTATGTGTGAAAGGACTTGTGGCAAAAGTCAACAGGTAAGAGTGCGAGCGTGTGATGACCCGGCACCAGCTCATGGAGGACTTGATTGTATTGGAAGCGGAATCGAGTATAGGAATTGTTCCATGAAACCATGTCCGGGTAGGATTTTTTTTAAAAAGTTTTCATTTATTATACAAACCTTAAAATTTTGATCGTTTATTAGATTCATCATTTACAAACCTAAAAATCAATATTACATATGCCTTACTTATTTTAAGAAGGTGATGGTCTATGGTGTGAGACTGGGTCTGTCACGTGTTCGAGTGGCTTAAAATATAAAAAAAAATATAAATGAGCACTGCTTACTGTAGCAGCTTCATGAAAAGAAGCTAAAAGAGAAAAAAATAAGCAATATCATGCTTATGGGAGGACTTGATTGCATTGGGATGGAATCGGGCCAGGAGTTCATATCCATGTCCGGTTATGTATGGTTCAAGGAACCCAGGTGTGCAAGTAAACGAACTTTTAATTCACTCCGCTGCGCTCATTTGTAATAGAGACGTCACATTTGAAAATATCTTGTCACGTGATTAAAATAAATTACAATTAAAATTGTTTGCTATTGCATGAATAAAAAGTTACTTAAAAAGATATAGTACGTAAATATTTTTGTTTATAAAGTGGCAGGAGGCTGGAGTGGTTGGACGCCTTGGACTGCATGCAGCAAGACGTGTGGCGTTGGTCTTCAGCGTCGGGATCGTACTTGCTCGAATCCGTATCCTAGCCATGGAGGTGATCATTGTTTCGGTGACTCCGTTGAAGACAAAATTTGTTTCGGCATGCCATGCATGGGTAATTATAGGTTTTAAACATTTGACAGGGAAAGAAATAGTCAGATTTGGCTGTAGTAAGTCAAATAATTTTAAAGAATCTTCACAGGTTATATAACAGTACAAACCATTGTAAACTTATATTACCCAAGTCGTTAGTCATTAGTTATTTAGAAAACAACCGTTAACACACGGCAAAATAACATGTAAAATGTATTTATAAAACCATTTTTAAAACTACACAATCATTTAATTTCTTTGAAACAAAAAAAGAGTCTTTACAGTTGAGTTACAGCAGCCGTGCGCATACAAATTTTTAAAAGTCACGGTTGCCCAATGAGAATTGACGTGAAAAACGTGCAAGATTTGTAATGCGATTACACCAGTCTTGCTTAATTAATACATGAAGGTTTATTTTTGTAGACTGCCATTTTGTCATATAGACATGTTACATTTCAATGATTTAGTTAAGGTATAATTATAACATTTCTTAGAGGATTTTAATGCATTAGTCTACATACATAGTATAATATACATTGTACATGTATATATGAAATACCACACTCATCGGGAATATTTCTGATACACCCAGGGCGCGTAACTCCTACTTGCCTCCGTATTCAGTATTAGTACTACTTAACTCCCATTAACTGGTAATACGTTTTTGTTGGACGCCGCGTTTGGATATTCAGCAATTATAGGGAAATTTTAGTCTTGCTATTTTTTTTTATTTTTTTTTTCAGATAATAAAACTGATAAAAATAGTTTTTCTGGTGTTCAACATGTCACCGAGCTATATAAACTTTTATCTTAAGTGATAGCGCCATGTTTGAATATCGTGTTCTTTTTATTTCTATCTTTTTAATTTACCTAATAAACAACGTGTCATTGAGCCAGGCTATATCTAATGCAGGCAAATTTGGACAGTAAACCAGAGATTAGGGTATAATCTGTTGTAATTCCGTTATTTACTGTTACAGTAATGTATTTTTCAATCGACTTTTACTTCCTTATATTTAGGAATCATTTTAGAATAAGTGTGAACTAACATTTGAAAGGTAAAATGGATTGATTTGAAGATTTTTAATTCAGTGTACTAACGGCATTTCTTGACAGCCAACGTAGATTTTTGTTGATTTTTAACGCGCATTTATTTCCTTTGACCAGATCTTTCAATTTTTGTTGCAACAGACAAACATTGGTTTAGTCAGAATATCAGGAATGGCATTCTTTGTGAATTTATGCATTAGGTTCTACTTATTCACAATAAATAAAAGTTCTAAGATATACCTGTTCTAGGATTGACAAAATCCACTATCACCTTAACTGTCCTGTATTAGTTTTACAGTAAGATTAATTGAAGTAGCTTGACTTAGGTTAAATTTAGTAATGAATTTACACGAATTTAACATTCTATTTATCACATACCAAAAATAAAGACCATTTAAAGTGATTAAGAAACATTTTTTATTGACTCGGCTATAGTATAACGCTAACATTTAGCGCGTCTGGACGCTATGTTATTATAACTCAAATGACGTCACGTCAAAGTATATGCCCGGCCGTGCAATACCATTTTTACGGAGTCGCAAAATCGGCACGGGTATGTGATAAAACAGATTATTTTTATTTATGATAATATTGTTTCTTCAAAAAATACAGAAGTATGTACACGTGTTTTTGCAGATGGCGGTTGGTCTTCGTGGTCTACTTGGGGTACATGCACGGTTACGTGTAATGGCGGTCTAAAGTCAAGACAGCGCACGTGCAGTAACCCAAAACCATCGTTGCTAGGTAGACAGTGCGCAGGAAACAATATGGAATATGCCTCTTGTAATTCTGCAGTATGTCCAGGTAATTATTGACTGACAGCAGACGACAGTCTGTATCACATTGAATATGCCAATTCGGCACCAGGTAGGAATTTCGGCTTTTAATTTTCAAGTTTGCTTCATTTTTTCATAATTCTCATTATTTCGGAATTGTTCGTTCGACCCAACCATTCCTTACAATAAGTATGCACATTGTTGAAAAAATAATGAAACTAGATCTATCTATGTACCATTACATCTAAAATGACACCTAGAGCTTGAATTACCTCCAGAAAACGTAGTGGCAACAGATCTACCAAAGGGACAAAAGTGTCTGATAAAATAGAAGAACATAGCTAAATATAGAGATATTATTATTTCCAGTTACATCCGCGACAATGCGGGTTTATTTCTCGGTGAACACGCCAACAGGGCATCTGTACAGTGACCACCATCCCGTGTTCTCAAAGATTGTTATTAATGAGGGAAACGCCTATGACATATCTACTGGAACATTCAATGTCCCAGTTCCAGGCATCTACCAGTTCTTTGTAACTTTTGTTACAACCCATTCCACTACACAGTGTTTCATAAGGAAGAATAGGGACGTTCTCGTTTATGCATTGACTACAGCAAACACAGACTGGAAGTCGGCGTCTGCGTCAACTTACGTACATTGCGTCACTGGTGACGTCATAGATATCTCGTGCGGCGGTTGGGAATACGTGGATCACAATCAGACATCAATGTTCAGTGGTGCACTAGTTTCAGCGGACTAGGGAGAAACATAAAAGCTTAGAAATAAATATTGTATTTGTTATTTTATTTTTGATATATTCGTTTTTTAACGTTTAGTAGGCTAAAATTAATTTCTTCGATTCGTTAGATTTATGATTAAACGTCCTTGTCAAATGGTGCAGACCTAGATCCTACATGTACGCGTAGACAAAAGTCCATACGTACACATATACTATATATGATATAATATATTAAAGGGTGTATTCCGTAAAATTGTCTTCTGACAGGATGTTACAATTATGGTTAAACAAAAACAATTTGTCATTTTGCCCCATAAAATAACATTCACTTATAAATCGGTAATTACGTGCAATATGTTCACTTAATGAACTTGACATTCAAACTTTCACCATTTCTTTGTTCGATTTTATTTTGTAAACAACAACGTGTTCCCGCCCATTTCATGGAATGACACTGTTTTATTGTGGGCTATAGTTTTATTTCACTTCAGTTGCACCAGTGACTTCTCTTAAATTGTAATATTTTTTACGGAAGATGTTGATAAATAACTAATCTAGACTTACCGAATTATATTTTCGACAAAATGCAATATTTTGTTGGCAATGTATTGTCAGATATTGATAACCTACGGAACAAGGTCAAGGAAACACAGGTCAAGTTTTGTGTCAGAAGACTTTAAAAAATATATTTGCCAACAAGTAAAAGGGATCGTGTCAATCAATACATGAATTACAATCCGATGATTCCGTTTGCCGTAATAGTGGAACCCCTAATTTTGACGTTGATGGGACCATATCGTTTGGGTGATGTCATAATAAATAATCAATGTTAATAAAAGTACATTTAGTTCTTATAACAGTCTAATTTGCAATTTACACGATTCATCGTTCAGTCAAGGTCTGAGAAAGTACATAATACTTTCCAGCTGCACTAGTGGAGGAAGACCTCCAGTCCCCCTCAGTTCATTCAGTGCATTATGTCATGCACATGTTGGATAGTTGGATTACTTGCACACATGGAACAAACCAAAGTCCCTGTCGGAAATCGACCCTACTCTCATGTTCACTTTTACTCTTCTATATATTGTAGTAAATAATTGAATTACTTACACAACCCATTATATCATAATTATACGACCGAATAATGTAAACGTTATCCTGTTCGACTTATACTTGTAGTATCAAATATTAACTCTCAAACAGTTGCAAGAAACTCGATACAAATTTTATCGATCTTTAGGATTAACAAAGAAGAGCGATATTCACGGAACCGAATGGTCATTGTTATTTTCTTTACACTATGTTATAGCCCGCGGTCATAAATTCAGTGAGAGGACATATTAATTCGAATTATATTGGTTCATGTAACAAAACATGAAATAGTAAAACATTATATTTTTAGAATTGGAAAATAGAATAAAGAAAATCAAATGAAAGTCTATGCATCTTTGGCTCAAGCAGGTGAGGTAGTTTTGACTCCTGATGTAACTTTGAATTTATAATACCCGATATATGCAAAAGTCAGCTTTCCTGTGTCGGCACTATATCCCCTATACTGTGTTTGTGCGCCGTAAAACCAAACAAACCAAAGTCGAGAAAATAAGAATTTAGGTACATAATGTTTTTTCCTATAGATATATGTTATCGAATGCTTCGTCAAGATGGAAAAGTATTAACCTGTTAGGTACCCAGCACCGATTGTTACACAATAGCTCAAGGTGATACACTGCCAGCTGTCCTCCACATGATATTGTAAATATAGTAGAAAAATAAATGTTAGACTGTACAAAAAATTCTCATATTCTGTATCTGATGAATATTTAGTAAAACACTCGCTGATACCGGGTAGTGCACCCAAACACCGGTTTGCGCAGATATTACTATAAGATTATGACATACTCAAATATAGTTTGTGTCGCGGAATTGATATATTATTGAGTGAAGTTACTATAAAGGAAATGTTTTGTACATTCTATTGAAATACTCATTTAAGGTATCAATTATAGAAGAACACGGCGTATCTATTACCCTGTTATTTATAGTGTATTTACGCGAAGACAATAACATTTATTTAGAGTGAATATTTTTCTTATGTTTAAATAATTTACACAAATTTCTGCTAAATATGATTCCTGCGAAGCATTAAATTCAACAAAATAACATGGAAATCTAGAGTCGGTTTGATTGAGTCTACAAACTTAATGCTTAATAAACTTATGATCTTATACTTAAAGGCACAATATACTTATTTAATTATTTAGAAATGTTAAATATATGTTGTGCAGTTATGTGTTGCAAAGGTAGCAAAATGTAAGTAAGCAAAGTAGTATTTTGAATTCCATACAAAATACTAATTCACTATAATTATACCAAATTGTCAACAGAGCAAAAGAAGCAAAGATAAATCATTTTTATGGCAAATTAGTATTTTATTGAAATTGTAACAAGGTACCAAAAGTAAACAGATTTTGATAAAAAAATGATTTCTGAGGCATAATGTTTCATTTTTCATGCAATGAAATCATTTATTTTAAGTTATTGCAAATTAGCGCCAAGCGTATATTACGTATTTGTGGTACACCCGCTAAATTTACGAGGAAAAGAGACGCAAACATCACGAGTACGTTATGAAAATACAAAGTCATGCAATTTAGAAGTAATAACCGTTCCTTCTGACAAGAGTATGCAATCACTGTAATAGGGTTGTAAATCTTAATTATGTCCTTGATGAAAAGTTAATTGCCCTTAAAATGATTAATAAATGAAAATGAGGAAAATCTTAAAAGTCAAAGATAGTCTTAAATCTTTTGTCCGAATGTGTTGTTTTAAAAAGTAGGATTATTTTGTGGAAACATTCACAATAAATGTTAATTCATGTACATATTTAGATATTTTGTTGCAATAGTTAATTGGGTCCTCCTGGGCTCCTTGACGCTGGTTTTTGTCATATAGTTTTAATTTAAATGTTGCGTAAATTTCTCATTAAAAGGAAAGACTACTTGAATTTAAAATAGATGTCGAGAAATCACAATTTTGAGGCAAGTATCAAACTAACTTTTACTGAATAGTAAAGTTCGACATACCTCTGAAAATTTAAAAGGCTGTTTGAACACTTATAATTGTGTACTTCTTAATAAACATAATTATTATATTCCAATGAAGAAAGTAATGTGTTATTTTTTCTTCTTGTTAAACATTTATATCTTAGCCAATGTATTATAGATATGCAAGGAGGTAATCATACACAAAAGAATCTTTTGTATCTTTTTATTTTGTATCCCCCTACAAAGAAGAAAAGCAATGAACGGACGAAACGATTTGAATAATGCAACACGTTAAAAATGTGATTCAGCCTGATATAAACTTTTAGGTTTTGTTTGGAAGAATGCTACTTAAATATCCCGATATTTCTCATTAGACAGATATTTGTTATTGAAATGCAGCAATTTAAAGTAGGAAAATGATGCCAAATTAATTGTTTTTCTTTTAGTTATATATATATAAGGTGAGCGATTTCAGGGCCACCATGGCCCTCTTGTTTATTTCTGTTCCATATATCGAGATATATATATATATATTATATATGGTGGCCCTGAAATCGCTCACCTGCACATAGGCCCTTGGGGCGGGGTTAATTTTACCCCAGGGGCTTTTATTTGAACAAATTTGGTAGAAACTCACTAGAAGATGTTTCATGCTTATAATCTAAGCTATAGGTCTATGACTTATTTAAAAGAAGATTTTTTTAGTTTTTACTATAGACATATAAGGAAAATCAGTTCCCTAAAGGGCTTTTATTTGAACAAACTTGGTTGACACTCACAAGAAGATGTTTTATGCCTTATATCTAAGCGTTAATTGTTTTGGGTTTATAAAGAAGATTTTTTAAGTTTTTACTATATACTTATAATGTATATATAATGTCACTTTGTGACAGGTGAGCTAAAAAGGTTATGCATGAGAAATACAAGAAGCTACACGAAGGTCTTAAAAGTTGAAAATCATCACTAAGTAAAATGAAAGTATGGAAGAAATATGCAATTGTAACTAAAACAAAATGGACAGACACCGTGTTTTCTTTGTATTGCATTGCAATCCCAAAAACGAGTAACAAATGGTCCACTTATTTTCTCGGTAGGTTTGCGGAAGTGATGTCCGACATGTTACAGTCCATTAAAAAAATCGGATTGAATTAAATTGTATTTCCGTTAATATATAAAAGAAAAATACATGTGTAAGAGTTGTGATATTTCTGTTTCCTGTTATATCTGTTCATGTTATATTGGTTACAGGTCTCTTATATTAAACTTAATTACACTGGCAATGTGCTATAATATGAAATGATATGTTTTGTTTGTGTAATAAATACAATTCGAATCACTGTTTTAAATAAATACCAGTTATAAATTGCGATTGATTGACAGTCAATAATGAATAAAGAATACTGTAATTCTACGTTTAATCAATTGATTGTAATCAGAAACGTCATGTTTAGTATTTTTTACATTCCGATCGCTATTGACCACAAATATCATAAATATCTGAAACTAACTTATTTTTAATGATTGGTTAAAAGAGAGCAAAGAGTTCATGTATTTGCAAATATGGTCACAAGTCACAATATGTGTTTGATTATAATTATACAGATTTTCACACATCTGTCTTTCCCATATAAATTTATCTTTATGTTGATTACTCGTGTCCAGTTCCCACACGATCTGTCATCTTATTATATTAAACAATCATCAAAAGAAAATAGAACAACTTGCGTTGATTGGTCAGGTAACAAACATGTGGTCTTTTCTCATAACTTTTTGTCAATACGTAGAACATTTATTTATTTGAAACCTTGTTCCTTCTTTTTGAAATTATATATATACACTTAACGAAACTTATAAGTACTCCGATTTCAAACTTGCAGGAAAACTCCGGTTTTTAAAATATATACCAAATCAATGTTGAAAATGTGTACTGACTCTACTTTCCGACTGCATGAATGATTTTAAAACAAAATCAATCATCCGAAACGCAATATGGCGGTCACATGCAAAAACCCGAAAAT